TTCATACATCATCTCAAATATGTACCATCAAGTCAGCTGGATTTATTCTATTTAGATCTGCATTAGCTTAAATAGGGCTCCCAAAATTGTAATCCTCTGACTGACTTTGATTGCATAACTACTTCAAGTTATTAGACTCCAGAAGATGTGTAATTAGCCGTCTCTCCAGCACTGCATGCATATACAGTACTCACTGCCAAGCAATATTTATAATATATTCTCTGGTCAAGAATAGAAGCTTTCTAATCAGCTGCTGGGTGGAGCTAATCACTGGGGGCCTTTTGATGTGTGGTAATTAGCCCGTTCCCTCTTTAAAACTTGAGAAAATGAGTCAGATTTCGAGATCGTCTGGACACGTTCCTCATTCAAGCTGAAACGATGCCGTGGTGGAGCTGAAGCTGTTGGAGATTTATTTCCAAGTGTTGCACGCAGCTAAAAGCCTTTTACAACAGTAGAGGGTCCCAAACAACGACGGCGTGCTGCTATTTCCACCTGGTATTTTGGAAGCTGCATATAAAATCATTTCCGTCATTGGATCTGGGGAGCCTCACACAAATACCTGTATTATTTTTAAATCTTCCCTTGTTATCCAAATTGAAGATGAATCGTATTGTGTGAGACAAAATGAAACAGGCACCCTGTGGTTTTCATCAACATGACAGCACTTAGCAGACGCGCAAGTTTGATTACAGCTCTTCTCTCATCTTCGGCTTAAGCTCACAAAATATTACCAGGTTAAAAAACAGACCTGATGTTAAATCCCTCATCATCTGTGACGCAAACGTCTCCCAAGCAACATCGAGCCGACGGAACAAAACACGTTGCTGCCTCTGGGCTTTATTTAGACTATTTGATGTGGAAATATTTATTCAGGTGGATGATTAGATAAACTAAAGAAGATCCTCTGTTCATCAGTCATATTTATCTGTAGCGCCGCAGCTCTTAGTGCTCAGTGATACATCGCAAATGAATGAGCAGTTATTTCCCTGACAGGGCTGAGCTTGTTTGGAGCAAATAGAAAGAAATGTCTGGTGTATGTTACCCGCCTTATTCAATATTTCTCTTTTTCTATTTTCTTTCTATAGTGATTTGATTGTTACTATTTGAATTACTAAAAATACACCATAAGAAAAATGTAAAGTCAGAGGTGACATGGAACACAAGAGGTATAAACTGTGAACAGTAAATCTTAACAGTAAAAAAATATTCCACAGAATGTTTTTTATATCATTATTATGATATCATTACAAAATATTATGGGTTCCAGCTGTACAAACATGATGGTTTGTGTTTGTTATGAGGATACACTGGTATTATGGCCAATACAAACCTTATTAAGTTGATAAGCTCTTGGACGGTGTGTTCCAGCTGTACTATTAAAAAACTCCTGGCCTCATGTCACCTTTCATTAAAACGATCCCGATGGGTTCAACGTGGTGACAGATTAAAGATCGGTAAGAAGATACCTCGGCTATTGGGTCGGTCCCCCTGGATACGGGCAGATACCCTGAGTTCAGGTATCTAACACATACATTGTCCAGTACATCTCACATCTGGCTGAAATGGGTTTCACACCCAGCTGTGCTGAGCACGGCAGGTTTATAAAATGACTGCAGAGGCCTGAAAAGTTCTACATTCATATTCCAAACGCCGCGATGGAAGCCGTTGGCGGCGCTCACTGTACTTCGCGTTTACCAGCCTATCCAGCCCAGCGCCTCGCGACGCCGCTCTTAACTCAATGACAATTGCGCTGCACACAATCCACTTCTCCCGGAACGGTGACGATCATTAGATCCCGGTTTTAAATCTCCCGACTTGGAGTCATATCCCCACCGAGCGCCGTGGGGCCTCCGAGTGAAGCGCTAATGTCATCGAATGTGAATGAAACCCAATTTATTATGATGACAGTCAAAGGGGGCATCAATTAGGCACACGGCTCGTTGCAGCAGAATACTGATGGGTATTTGGATGCGAGCCCATCAGCACACCCACATATGAGTTGCTCATCTGCCGTCTCGCGCCGTACTTCCCTCCGGATGCTCACATCCTCGTGTGTTTTTGGGTGGATTGTCGTCCCACTTTAACACTGGTTAACAAGCCGACGTACCCACGGAGAGTATTTGTGAGCTGTGAGGAAAACACACACCTGATAAAAACAGCTACAGAATATGCACAGATATCCGAATATCATCCACAGAATTAAACAGCTTTTAAAAGGCTTCAAAATGACAATCCAAATGTTTGGCACAAAAAGAAGAGAGAAAAAGGTGATTTTGAGTTTGTGACTGTACCAACTCGACAGGCTGTCAGATAATAGATATAGCAGGCTAAACTAATTAAATACAGCTTTTTAGAAAGCATGATAAAGTGCCACACTTTGAAGTTAATGTTAGAAGAAAAAAACTGTTGGGCGAGATGGGCGCTGCATAACAATGTGCAATCTGCAATTCCCCTCGAACCTCTGACAGATTTGGGTCTTCTGCTGTGCTGTGATAAAACGTGTGCTGCAGTAATTGGTCACTTATAACATTTCCTTCTTGTCCTGGGAAACAGCATTGAGTAGCACTTATAAAAGAAACACTCTTAGTGCTCTTCGTTAGCCCAGGAGTGTGTTAATCTTTTAGATATTTCCTCTCATACACATTTACCGGGAGCAGTAACACTAGGTCGTCATGGTCTTTATGTATATTTTAGTTTGATCTCAGACATAAACAGCAAGTGGCTCCGTGTCGCGCGTCGGCTCAGCTCAGCGCTGTGTTCTACTTTCATTCCCAGGGAGCGAAGCACTGCACCACGTCGTGTATTTACAGTACATGTTCTGCTTCGCTACCATCAGGCTCATTACATGAACCACATTCATGCCTTTTTTGCAAACAAGCCTTGAGCCGCGATGAAGTGAACTTTTACAGCCCGCTGTGCGTTTGTACAGTCAACAACGTGACTCCGTGAGATGGACAAACACTCAGTTGTAAAAGACAACAGCGGTAGAGTGAAGCAGGACTCGGATCGCAGGGGGACTCGATAGGATGGGAATCCCTCGTTGTCATCTGACAGTACACTGAAGCTTTCACTGGAAGTATAAAGAGGGGAAAGAAACATGAGAAACGCCACTCTAACAAGCCCCCCGGGACCCTTACAGCTGCCCGGCTCTCTGAACCGAGGACATCTTGTGGGATCAAAATGTTTTAAAGACTAGCAGAAAAGGACTGCTGCTGCCCCACGTACCCATCGGTGCTTCTGGTCCATCGTGACCACTTTGTACATTGTTTTGTCATGTGCGACAATCCGTCCGTGCTGTTTGAATTACGTCAGAAACGAGGCAGCTGGAAACATACAGCGACTAGCCAGGAAGGAGATTGTCCAATGTAGAGCTAGCTTTTCTCTGGTGCATTTATTTATAGGCTTTACTGAACAGGCAGACATGTATAACCCGCGAGTGGCTGCATTATGTGTAGCTGAGGCGGTTTGAAAGGGGAGTGCACGCCTTTGCTTGTCTTCTCGGTTCCACGTTTTGTCTTTGAGGATCCCGACGTTGTGTTTCAGGTCTCAGGCCCGTGCGGCAGTATGTGCGATATTCAAGCAGATCCAAGTACACACGTTATCAGCATGCTCGCATCTCTGCCTCAAAACAAAGCGTTCCCACAAGATGATTCTGTTTTGCCAAAGGATCAAGAAAAAAGTCATGATGCAACATAAAACTGGATGTGATCCACTATTACATTCTTTTTCGTCACAAGAAAATGTGGATCGTTGATGCTGTTTGCACTTGTTGCTTCTCATATGTGGTTTTTATTCTGCTGTCAACTGCTGTATGCTTCTCAATTATTCAGGACTTGAGTTTTGTTACACTTTCCACGTAGCTTCTACAGAGAAGAACAATGTTTTGCCGTCCTTGATGGTCTTGGGTTCATCTTTCAGAAGGAAGACTCTGGTACTTTACCATAAAAAGGTATTCACAAACCGGAGCCGATTGGGTAGATGTTCGACCGGTAGACCGTAGATTTTATGGTTTTAGGAGAACATAACATTTTTTTTACATTAAGACAAACCATGCATCATCATCCAGGTTCTCAGCTGGTCACGGTTCCTCTGACACTGATCAGAGCTTCAAAGTCAAATGGAACCCAAAGGTTTTCCCTCGTTTCCTTTGTAAATGCAGATTATTAATTTACTAAATTTGTATTAAATCACCATAAACATCACAATTAACATGGACCATTTATGTGCAATTACGTTTGGTACTATTTATTCGTTTGAATAGTAACTGTACAACAGTTCATGAACTTCCATGATGCACCACTTTCCGGTAAACTGCTCTTCAGCAGTTCTGCAATTATAACTCAGTAAACTATGCTGATGGAGCGAGTTCCCTGTAACTTAGTTGAAAAACTCCACAATTTAGCAATTTTCTTAACATAACATAGTTATATAATTCAATATCTGCTGGTTGGTGTTTTTTAATGTTTTAAAAAAAATGATTTCCTTAAAAAAGTCCCAAAATAAGAATTACATTTATTCGTTTTTTTTTCTTCTGTTTTGGAGTGCTGGTATTAATGCATCAGTGATCATTATTTGTTCTGATTTGGTAAATGTGGTCCAAAGGAAAATAAGTATATTTTTATTGTTCCAACTAATCGCAATGTTTCATTTTATGGCGTTAGAATTCCCCGAATTGGAAACTCAACTCTCCTATTGTTTGCAATCTTGTTTGAAGGCACATTTGTATTTTTTGCACATTTCCTTTTCAATAACTGATGCTAAATTATTAAGTGTTAAATTACGGCAAATTCAAGTAAGTAATATTATTTACATTCAAAGGTATTTTGCCCAGAGTGCAAATATCCATTATAATTAACACCCAAGCCATCCCATCATATAAACCTGAGGAGGCATTCTGGGGGCTCAATGCCAGACAAGCTGTTGACACAGTAGGATGGAAATTCCAGAAATACAAATCAAATCTCTTAATCTTTCCTCTCTGCTTGTCTTGTTCCCATCAGGAGTCCTGACGGCGGGCAGCAGCCATGTGAGAGGAGCTGTCCACAAGTAGAGGATGCTCACGCCCAGCTAAAGCAGAGCCACCCCCCTCCCTCCTTTCCTCCCTACCTCCCTACCTCCCACATGAGGACGAGAAGATGACTGTCACCAGCAGACAGTCCTTCAATGTCCTGACGGTCATCTTCCTCCTGCTGTCCACTGCAGGTCTGTAAGGTTTAGTCTGCATATCAGCGAGTCTGCCTGCAGAGGGTTCATGTTGCTGAAATGTCTGTCCTTTATTAAAACGGCCACAAATACAAGAAACAACCATGATGACATCTGATGCCCAGAGGTTAAATCAAAGACACTCAACATCGAGGGATTGAATAAGACATTTCTTGCCAAAGTGTACGTGGAAGAAGAAGCTCTGAACCTCCAGGTGTTCTCTAAATGAGGACACACAGACACACTATGACCCCCAACACGTGTCTCTGAGACGTGATACATCATGCACACAGGAAATGATCAAGGCAAGAATCTGCCTCCGTAGTAACAGCAGCACGTTGGAACAAAGGGGGGAAACCCGTCAGCAGAGTAGGTGTACACCACTTTTTAATTAAAACACTAAAAAGAAATCATACTTAATGCTAGATTTAAAACCAGAATCAGTTGGTATGATGAACTGAATCTACATCTAAATTAAAGGAACATTTTTTTCAGAAAGAATAATTATATCATATATATATATATATATATAAAAAACTTTTAAGTGAATCCGTAATGGTAGAAACAGCCGGGTGATATTAATAGTAGAACCAACAAAAAACAATTTAGCCTTAATTTGGCAAAAAAAAATTTTTTAATAAAACTATATGCGTCAAATAATAGTCTCAAATCAATGGGTCGTAAAGCTACATTATCAAGTTTTGTTTTGTTCAACCGACGGCCAGACAAAAGACAATTCAGACTGAAAAAGCCTTCGGACAGCCGGCACCAGCGAACATTTGGCTTTTTTGCCCGATAAATAATTGATTGGTTTTGTTCTATTAATGAGCTGATGGCATGTATTATGTGAGCTCAGAAGAAAGATGAAAAACCGTGGCTCTGAGTGTAGTCATTAATAAACAAATATGATGTTGGAGCTCCGACTGATGCTCAGATGTTACTTGTTGTGAGGGAATGGGAGAGCGAGCCGTGGCGGTTTTCAGGATGCAGATTGTAAACTTCCTGCAACGACAGAGCCGAGCTGTTAACCCTAACCGACGTCTCCAGAGGTGTTAATGACATTAAGCAGTCGTCTGTGTTGACAGCTGGATGGTCTCCAGAAGCAGCTGTAAACACACTTCTCTTTGCAAACCTTCACGTCTCGTGTTTGTTAAATGGCTTCACGGTGTCCTGTTTCCACTTCGTCAGTTCATGCACCTACAAACTGCGGCCCCGTCCTTTACGTGTAAGGTGTCATGGCGCGTCACGAGTTGATTGCAGAGGTCGATGCAAAGGTCAAACCAACCTTCACTTCTAGTCCAGCAGCGCTTCACTGCACCTCCTGTTCTAAAGGAGAGATGGCCGGCTACACCGAGCTCATTATAACCTGAAAGAGCCGTCTTCTTTCAAATGCTGATCCATCGCTGGCTGAGATTTCTGAAAGACTTCTATCACCTGCAGCCTAAGTGGACATCGGACTAAAATCACTTTCACAGATTTTCAAAATATGATGAAAGGAAACATACACAATAAAGACTAAACAGTTATAATAGAGCTAATCTGGAAGAACTTCACATGATATTGCATCATTCAATTCACGGTTGGAAGGAGAATAATTAAGCTGAAATAATTAAGCGGTAATTGCATTAGCATTTATTGTAGTAAATAATTGCCAACGATATTTTTACTTTAATTTAAAAACAGTGTCACCATTACAAAGTCTAGTACAATGAGAAAGAACTATACAGATATTGGTCATAAACATTCTGAATTGTTAGTTAGTTTTTATTTATATTTGGGGTCTTAGACTACACAGGTTGTTTTAAATGTGGTTTCTTTAGTGAAACAACCCATATAATCATATTCCTGTGGTTTGGGGCATGTTTGTGTTGTTTTTCTTATTAATTAGTTGTTCATTTGAACTTACTTTTATTATTGCCAATCTTATGAAATGTCAATCAAATATTTATATTTAAAAAATATATTAGGTCAAAAATTGTCATGGGATAAATAAAAATATTCAGTTGAAACATTTAATGTTCTTGAGTTTGAGGAGTGAGGAGTGTTTTTGTGTTTGTCTCGTGCTGCACTAAAAAACATTCTGACTCAACTTTACATATATTCTGTTTTCCTCAAACTGCAGCCCTCTCCGCTCATTACCGAGTGTGTGAACCCTACTCGGACCACAAAGGGGGTTATCACTTCGGCTTTCACTGCCCTCGCCTCTCAGACAACAAGACCTACATGTTCTGCTGCCACCACAACAACACCGCCTTCAAATACTGCTGCAACGAAACAGAGTTCCAGATGCTCATGCAGATCAACCTCACGACCACTTCAGACGGTTATGCACACAAGTAAGTCAAAAAAAGGAGAAAAAATAATTACGGTTCAAGAAATCCAGAATGAAGAAATGGTATCTAGGAATATGCGTCGTGGTTCCAGAGCAGTGACCTCTGAGGTTTATTGATGACCTCGTTGGTGAATCCGTTCTTCTTTTGGCATGATGGAATTTCCCGCCAAATTACATTGGAATCCTGTTTCACGGTTGCCGAGTTACGCGGCGAAACACAAACAAACGAGACCAATACTCGACCTCCGTGGCTGTGTGGAGGGAAGGAGAGAAAAAAACGCTGAATCTTTAGTGTGGCTTCGTGGGAATAAGTACGACGGAACAAACGTTTTTTGGAGATGACATTTCCTCACGTCGGATGAAAACAGCTCGTTATCGTCTACTTGCTGACAAACGCTTGTGTCACACTACGTGACACCAATTGCCTCCTACTAAGAGGGTTTGTTGACATTGATCCACACCTTCGGAGGCATTCCACCGAGATGAGCAGGTTCCTTGTGAGTGGAGCTCCTCCAGTTGTTTTATCAAATATCACTGCGGCATCGTATCACACTATATATGTAGTACCTTTTAGCGTTATTAATAGCTACCTCCATTACCTGTGACACAGTAAACATACACCTAACAATGTATTTGTTGAAGCAGAGGCAGACTCTGGTCCTGTGGGAGCACTCAGCTCTCTCTGTACTTATGCCCTCCCAGCATGCATCTGCCCCAGGCGGTTCGCACTTCCCTGCAGTAGGTTTTATCTCAGTGTCACGTGGCCTCTTTGGCCACTCTTTTGTTCTGACTCACTGGGTGTGATATTTACCAGTGGCCAAGAGGGTTAAAATGGCAATAGTTCTGCTCTCCAAAAACACTGCGTGGAGAAAATGGTAATATAGTTTGAGATTTAGCGGAGTTCACAGTAAAACTAAAGGCGTTTGTCCTCTGAGGGTTTCACGAGGCAGTGCTCTGCAGCATGTAGCTCACCCTGTAGTTACACCGAGTAGGTGGAAGGATGATGAGTAGGAATAAATTCAGAGACGAAGCGATATCTTTGAATACTAAGCAACAGTAACAGGAAGAAACCATGCTTTGGATTTAATCTCTGTGTGTTAAATGGGATATTTATGTGTTTGCTTACATCCCGGTAAGAGTATCATGTTGACCTCATGAATTACCTGAGTAGACGCACAAACAAAATTGTAAGTAAATCTCTCAAAAAAAGAGGTGAAAAAAAGGCAGCAGCAGATGAAGACGTTCATTTTAAAAAAGTGGATTCCTTTCTATTTCTATTTCCTCCATCCTAATAGGACTGAATCCCTTTAAATTTGTGTGACATTACCAAAATAAATATCCTCAGCGCCATAGAAACAGAAGACATTTCATCCAGATACTTTTGGCACATTGCTGCCTCTCAAATTTCTCAGGGAGCCTTTTTTTGTTGCACTTTATGGATGACGGTGTGCCAAACTTACCATGGGCCACATTAAATCCAGGTGGATCAGGTAACACATCAAGGAAATGATCCGAAAAGGTAGGCGCAAATCGATTAAAATGTCTATTGTGCTCATGAAATGTGTTGTAGAATTTAAGGAACAGATGGAGGGCTACGAGTTATTATCTAAGGAGCATTTGATGCACGTCTTGGTCTCGCCACATGAACAGAAAACATTCACACCTTGCATCGCTTAGCGAGGATTTAAGGGCCCGGCTGATGGGTGTCCGGGTGGTATCTATGCGCATGTGAAGTGTGTTTGTCATCGTCTCTCCCAGATTAAACTTCGCTAATATGTGTCTCCCACGCAGTAATTACACAGCCCTCGTCGGCGTGTGGATCTACGGCTTCTTCGTCCTGGTGCTGCTGGCGCTGGACTTTCTCTACTACTCGGCCATAAACTACGAGCTGTGCCGGGTCTACCTGGAGAAATGGGGTCTGGGGGGGCGCTGGCTGAAGAAGGCTCGCAGTCAGTGGCACAGGTCCATGCCAGAGGAGAGCGAAGCCCAGGCCGCGGCCCCCAGCCACTACCAGCCCAGACACAGCCTCCGAGGGGAGAGCCACAGCCCCACGCTCCTGCCCTACAACACGTCCACCGCGTGGTGAGTCGCTGTCACATGTACGTAGCATGTAGAGAAGCCCAATAGGACACCCTGGAACCTTGAATTCATATACAGCGTAGAGAAACATTAAAAGTCCCCGCCGCGGCCCCTGACTCTGATTTACCCTGAATGATTTGACTCCTTTATTGAATTCCTGTGAGAAAAAAAAACTGCCGTCCTTTATTTGTCCGTTTTATCTTTTTATTACCTTTGAGAGCAGTCACAAGAGTCTCGATGTGTGTTGGGCCGCTGTGACTGTTGTTAAAACGCACCCCGGGGAACCCATTCTTCTTCTTTAAGCCATTGCTCAGACTTTCAAAATAAAGCTGCACAATCACGGAGCAGAGTCTGACCAAACCGACATTTCTGTGCAGTACATTTTTCATGCAGCTCTTTTGGTCTCCATTACTGCGGCTCAGAGTCTCTGGCTGGAGGTAGATATCTCTCTCGGTTCATGATAATTTAATGTGGGCAGAGGTCTGACAAATGGCTTTGAGACGCAGCGTTGACTGTGCAAGCCGTGCATAGGGGAGCTGGGATGCTGCAGAAAGATCCTGGGGCTGCTTGACTGGCGGAAATACGGTTAACTTATTCTAGACATACCCATGGAGCCTCCTTATTAGACATGAAGTCAGTTTAATATGATGGGACTCATCAATCCTGGACTCACTAGGGTGACCTGCACTGGAAGCTCTCGTGCTTTAAGCCAGAGGACGTCCATAAGAATGTGTTTGTAGCAGAATGCTCATTGAGAAACAAGAACATTCTGAGTTAATAGTAATTCATGCGTTTTAATTAAGAGGTCAGTTTTTCACATATTCTTTGATAATCTATCAAATCAGTAATAAGAAATGAAAAAAAAGTGACGGATGTTGGGAGCTAAATTCCAGTTTCAGAGGCAAGATTAGAATAGCCTGTTGGCAGTTCAACACAGCAAAACACTTCTCACAATCTAGACAATGCTTATCGCTTTAAATGTGTTAAACGTCCACCAATAACAGATGATATTGCCCACGCAGTGCGTCATCACATGGCCTACCGTTTACTCGCAGGAATACAGATCTTTATCCCCAGAGAAGACACGGCGTCAAGAAGAAAACGGAGTCCAGTCAGTTGAACATCTCATTTAATGATGTAAACAAACAGCGACGGGGGTCAAGTCCAGCAACCGGCGCCGGAGCATCTGAAAAGAACCCAGTCGCACAGCAACTGAGGAATCAAGTCACATCAAGTCAAAGTATCAAATTATTTCTCCAGAAGCAGAGATATTATTCTTCAGAAAAAAATGCAGCTTGGCATTCAGTGACATTGTTTGGAGGGGGCGAGGCGGAGGGGGGGGGCGGCTACTGGGAAGCTCTTATTACTGTGGAAGCCCTTTATCGAAATCTCCTATTCATGCATGTGCAATCCAGGCGAGAGAAAAACACCCGGGCCAAGCCGGACGACGTAGTTATTGTTAATGATGTGAAGAATGAATCCTGTTTCTTCTCGACCCGCTCGATGATGGATAACAGGGTCACACACGGTGTAAGTAGGTGGCAGGTGATTGGACACAGGTGGGAACAATTAGGGACGAGGCGGACAATCCAAAAAAAAGGAGGGAAAAACACACCGGTGGGAGGAAGTAAAGCGGGACGCGAGAAGCGATCAAATAAAGAGGTAAAGATAAAGTGACCCACAGGTTCGACCCGGCAGAGTTTCACTATTTAAGTCCTATTGGTTTTTTTTTTTTGTAGGTGGCTTCTTTTGTTTATACAATAAAACTGTCAAATTAGATCATAAGGACCCGGAAACGAGCGATAAACTGCCTCCTATTTCTTTGGAGCATGTGGCTAGAAATTACACGGTGCTTCTTTAAATTGGTATCCTCTGTTTTATTGCTATGAAATCCTCAGTAGCAGTAAAGCCCTGATATGTTGTCCAATCATGCACAGCACATTAAAATACATTTAAACTTTGGCCAGGATCCCAGTCTGTGCAAACCTTCTCTGCCCAGTAGTCCACCTCTCGCAATTACGGCTAACAGACAGCAGCGGCATCTGGATATTTCAAAGCCAGATAAGAATTGAATGTGAATTAAGTTTTACTTTATTGCTGATGAAGACTTGCTGTGCAAAAATAGCTGTGAAATTGAGATTACAGACGTTTCATTGCTCATTTTACTGTCAAATATTAAGCAGGCTCTATCAAGAGTACGCCGCCCCTCGTCCAATTAGCCAACCCTTGACATCGTAGAATTAGTGAATAACTGGGCCAGCTGAGCTTAGCAGTGGAGGGAGGGAGAGAGGGAGAGAAAGAGAGAGAGAGAGACGTCCATGTGAGGTGGCCTCTGTCACCACTTGGACCTGACTCACACTACCTCAGTGACTCCGCGGTATCACACAGGCGCAGAGTCTCCATCGCCCCGCTAAGGCTGTGTGTGACATCACTTTGCTGGTAGCTATCCAGCCATAACACCAATACTCCAGCGTCTTGGGGTCAGTCTGCCGGGTAAATGGACTTGTATGCACTGATGGGGCTCCTGTGCAAGGTGCTATCTGACTATTTCAAATGCATACCCATTCACACGCCAAAGGCGCGATATTTGGAAAGACAACCATTTGGAGTGTTTTTTGCCCATGAACACATCGACAGCTGAGCCTAGCGGAGCCAGGGATCAAATCCATCAATCTTTTAATTTGAAGGACGACCCGCTCCAGCATTGAGCCTTATACGCCACGGTTCGCTCAACACGAGAAGCTGGAAAACAGCTTATTCTGAAACAGCACTTCAAATCTTTTTTTCCCCCGGTCTTTTTTTAAATGTCAGAGTATGATCAAAGCCTGGCCGTGTCTCCTGCATATTCACGTCCATCTTTGAACTCGCTGGTTGCATTTCAGTGGCAATAATAGAATTGAACATTCTGAAATTATTCCTGGCTTGTCTGTCCACGGAGCAGCGTGCCAAGACCTTGTCCAATTAAAGCAACACTCTCCATGTGGTGTGAGTTAATTAACATCATATGATGCTACAAAGGCCGCCAGACTTAGATTCTGCTGTGGGCTAAAAGGAAAGAGCACGAGAATAGGTTTGACTCCTCGAGAGCTGTACAGAGACTTTTGGCCTCAACATTAGCGAAGGAGACAGCGGCAATTTTATTTTTGGGCTGTGTTTGGGATCTTTTTTTAGATCATAAACTTCTGTGAACTTAATTTGAGTCATTTTCTCAAAAGTATAACCTTCAATTATTTGGGGGGGGGGGTGGAAATGACTGGGATGATATTCATAGAGGCAGGATGGCTTGTAAAATCTTCTCGGTCTATTTGTTTTAGGCCTGAAGCTGATTCTCAATGTTCATGTTCAATAGGATACAGGTTCCTAGGTTCGTTTTTTGAAAGAACTTAAGTTGCAACTCAGTGGGCATTGAAAACAGAGACGTTCAGTCAGACTTTAAAGTTCAATTCCTCAAACGTTATTCATTATGTGCGATTAATTGGCATGATATGTTTTAAATGTGCATGTAACTAGTCTGGTTACCGGGGGAATGAGGGGGGCTTTCTCTGAAATACACCAGGACCCGTCGTCTGTTCTTCTCTCCCTCTCTTACCTGCCGGATCGCCACAGCTGCATTTAACAGGGACAAAAACAATTCAGTCCATTGATGCAGGCGGGGCTAATTACACTGAGCCCCTCCCCCACGCTGTCCATCACGCCCCGCCTCCACATTTATGTCATCCTAAAACGTTGGTTCTTTATTTGCTCGCTTTCCTTGAACTGTGTTTGTATTTGATGCATTCTATTAAATAATTCACTTCTGTCAAGTAGGGTAGTAAATCATTGTAATTCATTGTAAGCTGCTTCATTGGTCCATCATTTAGACGTTGAGCGTGTTGAGCAAGACCGAGAACAGAACCAGAACTATTCACAGCATCCAACCCCCAAAGGCAACTCCTTACAAAACATAAAACCTGTCACATGATAAAATCTCAACCGTCTCCATGACAACTGTGCAACTCCCACAACTGATTATCACAAGATGTAGCTGAAAGCTGAGAAACTAAAAAAGTAAACACTCGAGAGTGCTCAATTCCTGCATGTTCTTTCTCTACAGAATGATTCTGCAAGTGGACAAAGTGGAGAGTAGCAACACCTGGTTCCCTTACGCGGTTCAGAGGCGAGGCCCCGCGGACGCCCCCTCTCTGGACCACCAGCGGTGGGCCAGCCACACCGTAGAAGTTAGAAGAGACTACTGCCCTTTCCAAATGAGCACAGAACAGCCACGGACCGACAGCAGCAGGCCGGCGTGGCATTTAGAAACCCCGCTGAGCAACGGCTGCCAGGAGGCACGCAGGACGGTTCTGCTGCAGAGGAGCGACACGCTCCGAAGCCAACAGGTGTTCAGTGACCCTCTGAAGAGACGGCCAAGGCCCCGGGTGTCCCAAAAAGATCCCAGACGAACTGGATGAACTGCACCCGCCGGTGTGGAGGCTTTAAGAAGCTCATCTTTCTAGATATAAGACGTTTATTACACTGCTGTTTCAGTTTGTGTTCAGTAGCAGTTAGGCACAGTTGTGGGTTATCTATTTGGTGGTTTATTTATGTGCATTAGTCAGAGAAATATACGAGTGGTTAACATTCAGAACATGTACCAGCTTAGGTTGATGCTGAGCATCTCACTTAGAGTAGTAGGATGTAGAACGCTTTTGTTACTCACTGATCCGAGACACAAAATGTCTCTGCAGCCATGTTGAGAAAACAATATCTTGTATGAAATGTTGTAGATCTCCTCTGAAAACAAGTGATTTCTCTATATTGTAAAGTGTCTGACAAGGACACAACGCCATGCAGATAAACTGCTGTAGATGAAAAGGCTTCACATTAGTTCATCCACATTTCCCTTCGAAGTCATTCACTCTAAACAATACGCGACAAAGCCACAAAACGGCCGCGCATTGTGGCTAGTCTGTAGCTTCGTTCCACCTGCTCACCTGCTGCGAAAAGCAAACTGAAGCCGGTTCGCTCGTAATGTGAACACATGATGATGAGGATCAGGGACGAAGAGCGCTGTGCCACGTTAAACACAACGTCAATCCGTGGCGTCCGGCCTACAAGCCCATCGGAGGTAATTACTTGTGAAGTTAGTGTGAGACAGTCGTGTCTGTAACACTCATTGACTTGTTCGCCCTTCCTCATTACCGGACCTGTCTGAAAAACAGCTCCATTAGCAACATGGTGACAATGAATCCATCCATCCATATGGTTCCTTTATAAGGAGCACACTACATCCTGTATTGGGAACACACAATTGTGATTAGCCGTAATGGAAAGTGAAAAAACAACAACAACAAAAACCCATTACAACCCCTTTCACTGTCAGCAATAATGTACTGTATAGATGGATGACATCATATGTAAAAGTTGGGTCATCACTGAGGGGGGGTCGCAGCGCTTTCAGTTGATTTTACATTTAGTAAGGTGAAGTTACCAAAAGGGAGATTCTGAATAATTCTCTCATAATGAAAAAGGTCACGATGTATTTGTCAGCGTTGTGAGGAGGAAAGTGAAAACAATTCACTTTTTAAAGAAAAAGATTTATTTTAGAGCTGCAACTAATGATGTCTTTCTCTAACGATTGATGGGACAATTATTTTCTCAATAAGTTAATGACTCATTTGGTCCATAAAATGTCAGAACAGTGAAACATACATGGCGTGATTTTTGACAGCCAGAGAACAGATATTCACAAAATTCAACACAGTCCAAGGATATTCGGCTATATGATCATATATGATAACATGTAACAGAACTATTAAAATCTTCACATTTGTGAAATCAGTGTAAACTTGTAAATAAATGATGGATCAATTATTTAATTGCAGTCATCCAGGGGTGCAACTAAAGATTAATTTCCTTATTGATTAATAAGCCAATCTCTTTCTCAATTAATAGTTACATTTAATGACTACATTGTTAATAAATGAGGTTTTCCCCTATCCAGAGCGAGAGGTGCCCTTAATCGCTTTCTCTTTCATTAAGTGTGGATTCTCTGAACAAAACTGGTAGCTGGTCGAGCGCTGGGCTCCTTCCTCAGTTATCGGCAATAATATTCACATTTGCTGAGTTGTTAGATCAAGTTCATTCCCGTTTCCGTGGCTAAAGCTTAATTGCGTTTGCGGGCCTGTGCTTTCAGGGGCAGAAGAATAGGATGTGTCCAATTGAAATAATTGGCCCAGGGATCTGCAGTGGTTCTAAATTACACTCTCCTGCTCTCTTTCCGTAGCTGCCTCCGTAATCCAAGTGTGGGATCAAAAGCAGCAACCAGAGGAGAGTTTTGACTCGTGCAGTAGCACAAAGGGGATTTAATTAGTCCCTAATGCTGAATAAGTGGGAAAAAAACGATGATGTGTTTGAGGTGATGTCCTTTTTTCGGGTTTGTGCTGTGTGACCTGTAATAAAGTAAAGAAGGTATGTTCTCATTAACAATAAAGTAGAAAAGTAGCAGCGTCAAAGTTGGAACATTTCCGCCGTTTCTTAAAATGTTCCAAGTTGGTTTTGTGATGTTTCCTGTTTTGTTTGAGGACAGTCGTGACTCTGGCCTGATGTGTGATGTGGTACTGTAAATCGTATCAGCTCAACCCTCTACCCAAATTAAAATGATTAACAAAAAAACAAAAGGGATGGGAGGAAAACAGCACACATCTGTTTCAGTCTGTCCGGTTGTCATGGTAACAGTTGCCTTACAGTTTACCCACCTGTACACAGAAGCTTTGTAGTGGTTGATACCTCACGTTTTGGGTGTGGTGGTGATGATGATGTACACTACGTTCTGTCTATGTATTTACTACTAGATAGAATGATCAGTACCGTTTTCAGTTGGATTGTTATTGCACTTGTTGACTTTGTATTGTCACAACAGGGAGAAATAAAGTTGTATCTTTTCCAGTGTGTTTAAATCCGTCTGCTTCAGGTAATCTTTGCAGAGGAGATGCTGTTTTATTTCATTCAGCCTTTTAGGTAAAGCCCCAAAGCCAGAAACAGACAACGGCAAGTAAGAGGCAGTCTAACATATAACAGTATCAATGATCGTGATGATCATTCTTTATTACAACAGGGTTAAAAACTTCTTACGGAAATAGAAATTGAAATCATGTTTTGTCCTAAACCTACAATGATTTGATAAACACTAGCCACAAAACGTTATTTTACAGCTCTTAAGTTCTGCTTTTTGGAGTATTGGTACACAACTTAATTCATTTATTTCCAGCTAATTAGCCCCTGTAGGTGGTAAATGAACTACATTCATATAGGTTAGCTATTTTCTACCAAAGCGCCTCTCATTCACTGATTTTAAAAACGCTAACTTTAGTGTCTTGCTCAAGAACACATGCAGACTGGGCGAGCCAGGATTCAATCTACCAAGCTTGTGATTAATGGATCCTTTTCTAACCCCCGAGCCACAGTATCGATCAAATGATCAAGACAAATGTAAGAGCTAAAGGATTTGCATTACTTGACCTTGATTGGATGCTCATTACATTCATGGACATAACAGAGGTTAGATATCCTTTAACATGCAGCACATTTCTGCTACCAAAAAAACACTGAGAATGTGGGCTGATGTAATATTTTCGGGGAAATGTTTGGCTGGGGTCCTCAAGTGCAGATTTTCCAAAATCAATAAAAAGCTTTAGCAGCCCGGCATATCAAGGTTCCCTAAATTCTTAATCTGTTAATCAATAAATACTTTAAACTATGCTTACGTCAGAAAAACAGAAAGCATCATTTAGTTTGTTACACTGATGAACATCTGATAAGCAAAAACACACATGTTCAAACATCCAAATGGAAGCATTTCTAGTTGGTTTAAAAACAAACGTCAGAAGTTTTTCAGTAGTATTTTTGACTCGACTTCATGGGTTTGGTGTTCTGATTCCTAAAGCCGGAGAGCAGGCTGACAGATGAGCCACATCCCAAACCGGCTCACACAGGAACATCGTTAAAGAGGGTGAGAAAGACGGGCCGTGTCCTCCCCATCAGACACCTGCTGCTGCTCGCGTCAAAGGCCGCCGGCAACCAAGAAGTCCGTCACCAAATCACGGCGGTTGCTTCGAGATTTCCTAATAAGATCTGACTTCTACTCCCCCCCCCACCTTCACCCACCTCTGTCGATCATTCTGTCAGAGATGTGCTCATCAGATCCCTCTTCCAGGATTCCTGTAACCAACGCGCTTCCCGTCAGCGCGATGCACAGATGAACACAATTGCCGGCATCCATCTCCATTTAAAAATCGTTGCCTGGATTTCCACATCCTGCTGTTATTGAGAATCCCGAGATACATCCTGCACACATTTATCTATTAAAACTCCATTAGGCCTCGTCTCTCTGATGCCGTCTGCCCGGGCCGGATCTTCTGCGGCGGCGACTCCACATTAGGATCCATTTGAAGAAGCCTGTTTTAATGGGACTGTTTGGTGACGTTCCTTTGAACAAGCCCCTTTGAGGGCTCAATGCCGCCTTGGTGGACCAGAACCATTTGATGCAAAGAAAGGAAGAAAGTGCCGGGCCAAAGTACGGTTTGGCACAATTTGTCGTACATTTCGTTTTTATGCTGTTTTCCAACAAGGAGAAAATAAGACAAGTACAAACAACATAATGTTTCTTTCGAGTCACACAGCAGTTTAAAAACAGAGGGTGGTCAATCTTCTAGGAGGATTTATTTTTGACTATAGGTTTTATTACAGCCCCCCTCACGCTCCCGCTGTGATTAGAGCAACAACTGAGAAAATCCCAATTTGTTTAAAACAAATGTTTTTCACTGCCGCTATCTCCCATGGAAAATGATTTATTCGGAAAATGCTAATATTTAATCACACACCGAGCTCAGCACAGCTCGGATATTGTGAGTAAAGAATACAATCGAATTCCGCCAAAACTGTAGAGAGTATAAAACAATCAGCAAGCATCTGTGCAGCGGATAATTACTGTGCATATAACACTTAGAAAAAATGCAATGCTGTATCCATGAATGTGGGATTAATGACATAAAGAAACACGCTCAGCAGTTAAGAGGTCATTAATATTGCATTGCACTTGTACTTATAATGGCTCTTATATATAGCAAGTTGTAAATCGACTTATTTAATTAAATTGCACTTTCTGGTTCTTGTTCTTCTGAGTTTATATCCTTATGGTTGAAATTCACTTATTGTAAGTCGCTTTGGATGAAAGCGTCAGCTAAATGACTTCTAATGTAATGTAATATGTTGGTATAAAGAATAGTAAAGCATGTCACACAAACCTGTTTCTGTTCGGATGAATATAAAATGATGGGAAAATGTTGAGAAAATGTAACAAAAGCCACGCTGAGCTCCCCATGAAGCCAATATTACAGTATTATAATTATGTGAATGAGCTGTGTGAAGTCATGCTTACAGCCCGGAGGCCCAAACACATCCAGCTGCCACGAGGCCTCAAAACAACAGCAACAAGAAAGCAACAGGGAAATTCAAACAAAATGAACTAGGAGTCGTAACACTGCAACGTGTGTATGTCCCCAATAAGTATGTAGACGGCAAGAAAGCGCGACAACGTGAGCGGCAACACCGACCAATACAATCCAACGAAGATCTTTTAAAAGGGAAAATTATCAACGCAGCTTAACAAATAAACATCTGTTTAACCACCCGCCTCCATTAGCTTTAGTCCGGGGGCTTGATGGAGGGTTTAAGGGATTCATTCATATCAAAAATATTAAATACAAACATGCAATTATGACACAAGCCAACACACTTTTAGAACTGCTTCTCATTATTCATTTCACAATGCCCCCTTTCTGTCTGCTGCCAATACTTTCCAAGTCCAACACAGCCGGCGAGGGTTGAAATGAGGATAAACCTATAAAAACTGATGTTTTATTCCAAAGGTTAAAGAGATTATATTTGAACAAATAGCTTTATGGTAATCATCACTTGTTAAAATGTTGTCTGCAATACGTGACTCTGTCCATCGTGGACTTATGACTTTATAAAGTGCCTGTTTTCAGGCTTTTACAGCATAAAAATAAGGGTGTACAGAAGTTATTTTATTATATCCTCCTGAGTAACACCGGCAAAGAAATGTGTATATGAGTGTATATTCTGCAATAACAAGCTCACTCGAGAGGAAATAATGAGCTGTGTGCAATGAGTGAATTTGTTTTTCATTTGGGAATGCCACCAATGTTCTGATTGTTAAACGGCAGAAAAACTATTTTTCACTATATTATAACATTCACATTCTTCAGTCCAAACCAGTAACTGTTTCCTTTAAAAGATTGAACCCAGGACGGGTGATGCTGTCACCTTTGTGATGACTTATATGCTGCTATAATGATACTGCTTTGTTAGCTCTGCTCCCCTTGTTGTGCACACACAGATGCATTGGTTCAGTTATGGACACATTACTCATGTCCCCTGTGAACATTTTGGATGGATTCCAGTTGGTTTGCGGAGGGAGATCGTTTTTTTCTCTCCAAAACTGACCGTCAGTTTGGTCGCCGCACACTACAAAACAGTACAAAACTGTACTCAAAGCAGCATCCAACAAGATGGAATGATATATAAATCTAATATTCACAGCCCTTATACGATAATGAAGGCAAAATAAGTTTTGTTTTGTTGGAGCGAAATAGGATTAATCCCTCAATCATTTATTTTTAAACTTGTCCTTCTTTATTGTGATGGATTAAAAAACGAATCACAGACTAACATGTGACTTTTCTCTTTAGAGTGGCTAAAATACATTCATCTCCCTTGACTTCCACTGACATTGTTCTGGGTCTTTATGATCATCAAAGCCACAAATGTTTGCACCTTCTGCACACACATTGTGAATGATTTAGCTTGTTTCAACATTTTTACAGTGCCTGTGAGTATTTTTCAATCCATGAAATGTACAGATTCTGTTAGAAGGTGAGAAGAATCAGAGAAGGTAAGGGAAGTTACATAAAAGGTAATAAGCAGAAAAATGTAATGTTACATTTTATATGGACCATCTGTAATTATGGAGGTAACAAGCAAACATGTGTGATTGGATGGAATGTGTGACCCCCGACCATGAAACACAATTACAATGTGACTCCCGAGGCAATTTTATGCAAAACTTTTGAAATGTCAGAGGAAATGAAATATAAATTTAGAGTATTTCCCATCGCAGTAGTGGAAAGGAATAAATTGGCTTCCTGAATGTCAACAAAATACTGCAAGTTGCTGTTGTTTCTGTTTACAGCTCTTTAACCTCAAGACATTCACGCTGCAATTTGCTGATACACGAGCTAAATCCACAAGACTAAACCATAGTGGCAGTGATAAGAAGTTTGATTTTAACAAGTCACGAATGGTAAGAAAACATTTCTTTCAAACACAGAAATGACACATCTTTCTGTCTTTTTAAAACAAACTCTACGACGGCATCACATCCATTGTCTTTGTGATACTCTCCGAGCTTCCTTTCATGGCTCGACATGTGTGTGACATGGAGTCGTGAACAATTCAATGGCAAAAAAAACGTAACCGACAGAAATGACAATAACACTCACACACTAGAGAAGGAGGAGGTCACAGACTGTCAGCGGGAATACATGGAGGAAGCGGAGAACTCAATTCACACTGTTTATTGAGAAGTGGCAGTTAAGGACAATGGTTTTCAATAGCAAGAATTAAAAATGACTTGTTCGTCACACTGCGGGGGAACAAAAGCAAGAGATAGAATATTTGTAACAGTTTAGAGACAGAAGAAACCACAAGCTGGTCCAATGCTTCACTTTTCGTCTGCTTTCTTTGTATTCCTCTTTGTTCAGCTCCTCTTCCTTTTCTCATTTCCTTTTGTGCTTCATGAACAGAGCGTACAGGACCTTCAAGGTCGCGGTGGCGTCCAGGGAGACAATATCTGTTACATAATGAGGAGACATTTAGTGCGTATTTATAATGCACCTTCAGCATCTACCAAGGCGCTGGTGCAGAGGACATGCTGCTGCCTCCATCACCATCAGTAGCATTAGCTAATAGCTAATCTGTGCAGGTCAAGTGGAGCAAAAACCAACAAACATTAGATGGATCAAAATGTCCTTGGCGAGACGGATCCCAACCAATTGCACTCTGCCTTAAGATGCACTAACTGCATGAATGTGACATTAAGATGGACTCCACGCCGGCTAACCCAATTAATGCACGCAGCGCGCTGCCGTTTTTAGACCCTCCGTGCTGGGATTCCTCGTTCCCTCACTCTTATCATGCCAGTAATTAAAGTGAATTCAATTAGCCCCTTGCTCCCGTCTTAGATGAATTGTGCTGGTTCTAACATTAACAGTTATTGTGTTAATGGAGGATTTGCTTCACAGCTACAGACTCGCAGGCAAAATCCCGGCGAGGCTCTTGTGGCTGTGATTCGGCAATAACGGATCGGCAGGGGAAGCTGTTGTTCTATTCCGCTCCTCTTTCTTAAAGGTTTTTGAGGTTGATGTTCAGGTCTCCGTATGGGCCGGTCAAGTTATTCCTCAACAAATGAAAATCAACATTCTTTTATGAAGCAAACTTTGTTTGGGGGGGTATAACCGCATTAGATGAATTACATGAGGGGATTTAATGATAAATCATAAAAACACGCTGATAGCAAGTTGAAACTGACAAATCTGAAAAATGAACGAGGACTCTTTACTGTCCACAGACACAATCAGAACATGTCTGGGGTGTGTCTCACAACGCGGTGGTCCATATCTTCCTTCCAGTAGATTTAGCCACAGCGTTGAGGTTAGACCCCCCCCGTGTCTATCAACGGGCACCAGAGGGGCATCGTCCCCTTGAGGCCGACTCCCTCGCAGCGCCGCTCGAGATGAGTGACGATAACCTCGGACTGAGACAATCATCCGCAGTCATTCGAGACACTAGTCACATATCACGCAAGCAATTTCATCTCTCCCTCCAAGACACGGTCAAAGCTGCACTCCACAGAGCCGCGGAGATTAAATCAAAGTACTCTCGCCTGCTACCTGATATACAAACAGATTTGGCCGCACAGATAAATGCTATCCAAAGTGGATATCGTCCAGATCAGTTTGACATCGCGGCTTGGAGCTTGTTGTTGTTCGGTTGCAATCGTTTTGTTGTTGTTGTTTGTTTCCTCCGCATTTAGATTTGGCAGAGTGTGTGTTGTGTGAGACGTGTTATTTCCTCACCTTGTGGATCAACACGGGACATCTGAAGGCCTGAGTCATTGAGGAGATCCAAGGCCAAGGTCACATTGTGTAGCTAGAGTCAAAAACAAAATCCAGACACCGTATTTACGTGAAAAATAGTAATACAAAGATATTCGATTACTTTTCTTACGCCCATGGATTCACGCAGAGAAGCAGAAGCTCATTCAGCCACGATGTGTGTTAGTTTTGGTAAAACGTTTTAGTCACATCTCCATGTGCGAGGTGGTCTTTTAGTTACAGTTACATTATACAGTTAACATTATTAAGTAACTCTTAAGTGGTGAAATAAGTATTACGGACGTTTACTGTAAAAATACTAGGTAGAAATAGTTACATTACATTAGTTTAAAGTTTACAATTACATAAAGTGCTCATTTCAGATTTAGGTAAATCCCATTAGATTACAATAAATAAACACATCACCTAATTAAAACTTTTAGCATATTTCTTTTAGTTTTTGATGATGGTAAATTTTATATACAGTATTTGCATAAAATAAAACTTTTAGCATATTTCTTTTAGTTTTTGATGATGGTAAATTTTAAATACAGTATTTGCATAAAATAATGTAAAACATGGGTAACTAGTGAGTTGTGGCATTACAATTTTACGTTATAAGTTATTGCACATTATGGTGCTACATGTGCTACACAATTCACCATCAAGTATTATGGATCAGGCCGATATATAATGTGCGCATAATCAGGAGCTTGTTAGTTCAATCATCATATTGGAGTGATTTATTCATGAACTGCTCATATCTGGTATGAAGGAGTAAATGAAGTAAAGTGTGATCAAATACATCAATATAAATGACACAGAAGTAATTGTGGGAATAGTCAAATATTCATTTTATCATATGTAATTACAGCTATTTGTGGCCGCTTTCTGTACTCATTATCCAACATTGGGCTCTTAAAATCAAATCAGCTCAAATTAGAAATTCTTTAAAAAGGATACAGAAGTACTTTTCAGTCTGTACATATGTTCACTTTCCAAAAATATCACTCAAAAATCAAATAAATCCTAGTTGAGATTACTAGATTACGTTCTAATCCGTTTATTTATTTCAAGAAATGAATATGTTGCAAATAAAACTTTCTAAGCCAAGTGTTGTGCTTGTGTGTGTGTGTTTGTGTGTGTGATGCACTTCCTTTTCTAACGTGTCAGCGTACCATCTCAGAATGAGTGACGGGGGTCAGGTTGAAGTCAGACAGTGGCACGAAGAAGCCTTCCAGCTGTCCAATCAGCAGCAGCAGAATCACACCGTCAGCAAACTGGAGGGAAAACACACCGGAGATTGCAGCCGGTGAGGAAGGTGATGTAATTGCACCAGAAGGGATCAATCAGTCCTCTCCTTTTGTACATGAAGGTGCTGCAAAGGTGCTTTTTACCTGTTTGTCCATATCAGTCACCTCCAGACCCACGGACGACATATTCTGGTTCACAAAGTGCAAAATGGCCTGAAGATAGACAAGGAGTTTTGCTGACATTTTAGGGGTGTATCAACATAATTGAATGTTAGAATTGTCTTGATTTATGGATTAATGACCAATGATTTCATTTGTTTTTTGCATTAAGTTTTATAGCCCAAATTTTAAATCAGTTAATTAAACAATTTGTAGCAGATTGATCAATGATGCAAACAGTCGCCCCAAACATTAACTGAGACAGCGGATTCAAGTAAAGTTTGAATACTTTGATCCATTTTCAACATAGATGACAAAACATTGCTTTTCCGTTTGATCATTTCCAATGGATTAATTACATCATTCATCATATTTTTTTCAGGCGTCTAACTAACAAACAAATGACAGTTATTTAAATCCTGTCTTTACAGAACAACATCTGCTCTGCTGGCAGAGACGGGGACGGTTAACTTCTCTCCTCGTCCTACCTTCTTCACCGCGTTGACCTTGTGAGCCTCCAGCCTCAGCAGTCGCTCGATGGGATCGTCCCCTGAGTGAGCAGACAGGTGGAAAGCTTTGCTCCAGCGACATTCAACATGTCAAATCGTCTCAACCTCCAACAGCTTTTTACTCACGTTCAGGCCCGCGTTGGGAGTCTGAGCCTGCGTCCCTGTTGAAAAACGACAAACAGAAAAAACAACAACCATGAGGTGTTTTCCTTCCATCGTCCAACAGGACAACAAACTGCTCACCTCTCGTCGGTCAGGACCTCCATCATTACATCTGATTTTATTCCACTTCTGTTCACCTGCGTGAAAATGAACCAACACTAAGAAGCATGAAGGAGAACTGGAGAAAAAGACTTAAGTTGAAACTCACTTGCATAACTACAACTTCAACTGTCACATTCTGTGGCAGATCCAGTTCAGGCTGGAACGCTCTCACCATGGCAACGAGCAGATGAAGAGTGGCCAGAAGGTCTTTGTTGTGGATGACTGACACACCAGAGAACAAAAACGCACACACGTGAATAAACACAAACTGAAATTGGATTACGACGTTAAAATAATCTCATCCTCCATTTTCTGTGAATATAATAGTTCTACGCGATGGCGTCTCTCTAAATAGTTTTGAGTTTTGACCACTTCAGACATGTTTTTTTCAGAGCCGGAAATGCCCTTTTGCTTAATGGCAGAGTGCACCTTATCCCATTCTGCAACGGCCATTCTCAAGCTATTTTATTAGTCTCAATGTTCATTCCTCATCAGACATTTCCTACGACTTCACATTAAAAGCATTCCACCGGCTTTCATTGTGAAGCCGCTGCAGCAAATGTCTCAGACGAAGTGCACGAAAAAAAGAATCCACTGAAAGGAGATTAAAACAGAACCCCAGCATGTCTATCTCCAACGAAATCCCTCACAGTTGGTGTAAGCAAACATGGCACTCGCGTGCTAACACCAAATCCTGACGTTATTTGAAGACGCTGCCAGAAAGGGCAGATTTGTTCTCTCGTTGCTCGGAGCCCAGTCGGCGGCATTACTCACGTTTGACGTTCCACTTGATCCGACTGCTGTCCTGCAGGCCGAGTCTCTGGTCCAACTGCTCCAGGATCAGTCCCAGCTTGAGGATCTGAGCAACGCTGGTCAGTGCCATCTCCTCCACAGACACGTGCACACCGGCCAACTTAGCTGTGGAAATCCTTACGGTTATTAACATGATGATGATTCCATTATTGTTGTATTTATTATTTAATGCGTTTCAAAAATGATATATGACAAGCTGTTAGGTGAAATACAAAAAGAAGGGTTAGATAATGTAGATAATGATTAAGTGGACGTCCAGCATGATGAATCACCACACTAGCCTTTCTTACTGATGTGTACTAACTCACACAGCAGGTGATGAAGCACCAGTCCGTCGTAGAGATCCTCCTCCAGACTCTGAACCACTATGTGCTCCGATTTCAAAGTGCCATTGATCCAATAAACCAGTACCTACCAAAACACAATTCATCACACAGTCAGATACAAACACCAGGCGCCGCCGACTGAGCCAAATGAAATTTAGTTTTGTATTCTCCTAATTGGTTTTCAATGATAATACACTCCTGAAGTTAACGGAAATGATGACAAATCCAAAATACTCCCCCCGAAATAACTGGATTTTATTGGTTTGCCCTCCCGACTCCTTATATGAGAGATGCCACGCGTTTTGAGTTATTTACTCGCTCTCTGCCGCTTGCAGGAAGCGCTTCTGCTGCCATCTTCTCCTATCAAAGCCTTGTTTTAAAGTCAGACCTAGCAGACTGTGCACACGACTCCTGAACCCCGTCTCCCTTCACCTCTGATAATTATGTTCATTAAAATTTGACCAATCTGTCCACCTCTCTCCATGCGTCAGATATTATTAATGCTCTTGGCTGCACACATATACACGCAGGCTCTGTAGTAGCATTCATCTCCAGCCCACTCAGGAAACACTCCCTTTGTATTCCACGATGAGCTTCATGCTGCAGTTTAATCGAAGACATGGATTCAGACAAAACTATGTGAAGATAACAGGAATTCATTTCTTACCTCCTTTAGTTTCTCTAGTTTGGGGTCTTTTAAAGACTTTGGCTGAATGAGCGTCTGCGTCTCTCCTGTGTGAAAATCAAATTGTATTGTTTCTTATTTTATAACCTGTACATCCTTTAATGCTGTGATTGACAGCTCCCTATCATTTCTAGCAAGTACTTTATTTATCAAAAGGCAACAACCACGTGTTTGCCCGTTGACGACACACACATGTACTTTTTCTCAAAAGCCTCCCTGACCTGAAACGCCTGCACTCCATGAACTCGTTATGATAATGAAATAATGCTGATGGTTGCTGAGAATTGGAGGAAAAAACGTGCAAAACCAAATGTGAAGAACACTGTTCTTTGTAAAAATGGTGAAATGTGGTGAATGCACACATACCTGTCACGGTGTGGTTCACTTCCTGTCTTGTTTTGTAGTTTTCTGCCACTCGTGTCCCCGGGTAACTTCACTTCCTGCCTTGTCATGTCACCCCCCTGTGATCGTCTAATAGTTTCCACCTGTGTCCAATCACCTGCACCTCCCTTGTGTATTTAAACCATGTGTGTCTGTTGTCACTTGTCGCGTCATTGTCTTTCGCCACGCATGTCCTTGTCTATCGTCATGGATGTCTGCAGTTTCTTGCCTGTGAGTTTTTCCCCTGGTTCCTGTGGTTTTTGGCCTTTTGACTAATAAAGTCTTTTGTTTTTCGGAGAAGTCTGCATTTGAGTCCTGCCTTCCACCCGCACCCCTGACACATACCCTGAAAGGACTCAATGTCCACAGCGTCTTCCTCTTTGGGAAACTCAAAGACGGCAGCCTCCATCGCTCCTCCTCAAGACGAGATATTCAACAGCTGTCTGCAGAACCTGCAGAGAAGAGGAGCTTGAATACAAACCACAGAGGAATGAAGGAACACTTTCTCCATCAACATGTTTGTCTCTCTCAGCAGGGGCTCAGTGAGTGTCCTCCACCGTAATTTGCTCTCCTTCCACCTGCTGCAGGGGAGTTTCTCGCTGCCTGGCAGTGGAGGAGGCTGATTGCACCACCAGACAGTACGGTTGCATGAAAATAGACATTTCTGAACAAAAACAATTTGCGCTCAGTATATTTCTAGAGTTGGCTTTTGAAAGGTTTTGTTTCATGATTGAGGACGTTAAGACGTTTCTTAAAAGACAACTGAACAGGAAGATATTTGGTTTCTTCACTTCCTTTTCTCTCTTGCAGCAGCACAGTACTGCAGCAGCAGCAGAGGTTTGCAGGGCTGCACTTCTCCCTCTGAACGCGTTGTTGGATCCCCCACATGAAGTAACAGACAAAGCGACCGGCTGCGTGTCAAAGTGCCCTTTTTACTGGATGTGAGGAAGAGAAAAGCTACCGGTGAGGAACTTTACTTTTCCTGGTGTTTTAAGTGTCCGGGGTTTCCTTTTCCTGAGTTTGACAGTCCCTTTCAAACAACGTCACAAACAAAAAGCCTTTTTGAATGAGCTTACCTTCGGTAGACGAGTTCCTTAACTGATGTTTCCAGACTGTCAAAACAGCAAAGTAAGAAGTAAAGGGCTGCGCTGTTATCTCAGCAAAAGGTTTAAATCGGATTCAGTCCGTTACTTGAAAGAAAATAACATGTTGCAAGGCCAGAAGGGAGGCGAGCACAAATGAGAGGATGTGACAAAGAAGGAAGCACTTCCTCTTTTTGATTCTGCCTTTGCACAGTTTCTTTTTTTAAGATAAGAGCGTCTATATAGTGTCACCAACTGCGCTCGGCGCTTTAATGATAACTATGTGAAAAACAAGGCAGACTCTCGGGTGCAAATTAATTCTTCGGAAAAACCACACTTGAAGGGGGCTGAGAGAAACGTGACACTCGGACGCCTGAACCACTCCGGCTCGACTCACACGTCTCCATCTGTGACCGGATCGATTCGCTGGCGTCCGGCCTCCAGCCTTCACACGGCTCCAACCAACAGCAAAATAAGGAACGAAAAACAACAACCCGCAAAAAGCTCTGCACGTGCACCAGCCTAGTGGAGGAATAGAAAAAGGTCCACCCATCAGCCTGTCGAAGGGGCAATCTGGGGGATGTGGAAGGTTACCATAGCAACAAAGGAACGAGACAAGGAAATAAAGGTCTAAAATAAACCCTTAATTCTTTTAGCAAAACCCAAATTGCAGGAATTGGCCCTTCCAAAGCCAATCTCGCTCAAGAAATCTTACCTATCACACAAGCAAGGGACATAATCAAATCCTCATTCTGTTTGATTTCAGGCATTTATTTCTTGATAGGCAAAATAAAAAACACACAAGCAAGGCATAGATTGACAAAGTTGTGCACTGCATCTTAGCAGGTCTGCAGGACGCACGGCACTCAAACTCTGCTTCAGGAGGACAGTGTGTCGACTCTTCTGGAAGGCCGGTGGACGCGAGGATACTGGGGCTCTCCCGGGTGGGGGGCCGGGGCGCCACTTAATTAAGGCAATAACGTTGGCTTTTAAAAAATGGCTTGAGATGCGTTGTGCATAGTTAAGAGGAAACGAGGATCATTCATACTTTCTTTAGCGGTCAAGTATTGGTGAGAGCATACAAAGCCTTTTCAGATATTATAGAAAACATTGCATTTCACATTTTCTTAAAGATATAGTTTCAGGCGAAATATGCATTCGCTTTATTAACAAGAGGCTGCGGGAGAAGAAGTCACAGCCAGCTGCTCGTTAGCTTAGCTTAGCATGGAAACGGGAACATGAGAAACACATTAATTCATTATTATTAATCTATATTTTATATCAGCATATATGGATTTAGTTTTTCAAAAAGAGCTTAAAACAAAACTGATTACCAACAAAACAGCGAGGGAAAGTGTAAAGACAACAAATAAATTCAAACCATCTCAAAGTCATTCATTGAAAAGGGTTTTCCATAGTTATTGTTGCTTTTATAGTTCTTAACGGATCCAAAACAATATAAAAGTCTACACTGTGTTCAATGAGCTTCCCACAGAGTGTTATTTTTGCTTAGCTAAGCTAACCTGCTGCCGGCTATAAAGTTTGTTTAAGATTTAGCATACAGACATTAGCTTTGTATCAATCTTCTCATCAAACGATTGGCAAAAAAGCAAATATCTGTCTCTTCCAAAACTTATTTTAATATTTACACAAATGAATTCTTGGTACTATATAACATTATAGTCGACTTGACACAGAAATGTATTCTTATTTTAACATCCTGCCTTCATTACTCCTGTGACAGCCCAGTTTTATAATGTGGGCTAAAGGTCGCAGGGTTTTCTGGGCTGAATTTAACATTCGAGGAAGGAATTAATAAATACTGACATTTGGAGATAAAAATACTAACATTCAGTCTTTTTCAGGCTACTCCCGACGGGTCTTTATAAGTCCCACATAATGATGACTTTCTGTCTCAGATGGTCTCCTCTAATGTCCAGACTATCACGGTAATAACTGCGCAGAAACATAGTAGCATTCAAAATAATATCCGGGGCTGAAACTGGAAAAGTTCAGTCTGAGTTTTTGTAGTTGGTGAACAGGTTGTAGAGGACTCTGAGGGTGGATTTTAGGTTCAGGTTGACAACATCTGGAAAACAAAATGGATGCATCAGAGATATTTAGTTTGATAAACGTGTTTTAAGATTAAGGATGAAAACATTTGACCTTTGACATGCACAAAACCTGATATTATATGATTTTTGGGTCACAGAAGCACATAATAAATGAGCTGTTCCAGCATGCAGCTTCTCCTGTGATGGATGTGGGACTACTTTCCCTCAAAGGTTATTTGTAATATTGAAAAACGAACATGCAGCTTGAAATAGCTCATCGTAGCTCCCATGAAACGTTATGAGGAGAGCACAGAAACCCTTTCTGTTCTCTTCATCAGTAACATGATATAACGCACCAGTGCTCATTAGCTTACTCTAATTTGTCATCACAAACAGGTCTTTGCAAAGTGATCCATGCGTGAACATTAAAGTAGCTCTGAGATTTATTTGAGTACATACAATTAGTGCTCTTAAATACATATTGAGCTGACGTGATTATGCTGTTTACGGTTTAATTTAAAGTCGCACAACATTGAACACTTTATTCTTTCAATATAATATTCTGTGGATTTAAATGAGTAAGAGTGCTTGATATTAATTCGAAAACTCTGATTACAGTTAAAGTACGCGGTCACTCAACTGTTACTTAAAACTGTAACAGCATTTTGAACTGTAAAGGCAGTTTCTAGAGCCGTATGGGTTCATAGAATATATATTGCAGGAAATACGTACTTATGAACTAATAGTCAACATAAAAACTATGTGAAGCCAGAGAGACATATTTGGATCTTTTAAGTACGAACTGTGTCTGGAAAGAAGACGTGTCCCCCAGAAAGAACTCAGCACTCCATCCAGAATAAAGAACAAAGTCTCCATCTACTGGACAACCGTTGATACGACACCAACCATTAAAACACCCTCCAAATGTCTATAAAATACCTTCTGGTCTGGCTTTGGGTTTCTTTAGACCTCCATCCTGCATCAGCTCAAAGGCAAACGCCACATTGTGGACCTGAAGGGAGACACAATGTGAAAGGTCAATGTACTGATGAGTCCCTAAAAATCTTCCCATATGACCAGATCTTTGGAGGGGGTGATCACCTTCTGCTCAAAGCTCTCAGGGGTGAGGAAGAAGTTGTATAGGGGGACAAAGTAGTTCTCCAGCAGCCCCATCAGCAATATCAGGTACACACCATCAGCAAACTGCATGCACATAGACATAAATACATATACAGACTGCACAACAATAAACAGCACATATAATGTTAAAGCTGCATAAGTAATTAAGATTGGTAAATTATTTTATTTGAAAATGAAATGCTTGCATGTAAATAGAGGGATTATGAGAGGATGTAATTATGTTAAATAACGCAAATTATCATATTAATAAACCATTAAATCTCTTACCTGAGACTCCAGCTCAGTAACTTCCAGGTTCAACTTGTTCAGATGTTTGTTCACAAAGGTGATGAGGGACTGGTAACGGGATCAACTTTAAAGGTTAATCCTTTCATTATCATTATTATTACGCTTTCCATTATGATCATTATTGTTCCGTTATTATGCAAAGAAAAGGTTCTTAATTACCGTTTTCACCACGTTGAGCTTGTCTGGCGCGTGATCCAACAAGGTATCAAATGCGTCCCTCTCTGTATGCAAACCATCATCAGAACCGTTTTACAATTTGGGACATTTTGAGATCTATTCTGTAAATACACGTCTACAGCTAGCAGACGATTAGCTTAGCTTAGCTTACACTTGTTGCTTTTGCACTTTATTGGTGCATCTCAGAGGTGTGAATAGATGTGTTTTGTCATCTTTAGACAGTCAGACTAGCTGTAACATCATATCAAATCAAACACATATAAGAGTGATTGATCCATTCAACTTTCAGTGGGGATCGAAACAAAACGCTGGACTATTCTTTTAACAATATACAAATATATATATATATATATACTCATTTTTAACTAAAGACATAATCGTAATGCTGTAAGGTAAAATTTTGCTGAAACTCACCAAACCTTCCCATCATCATTCTGAAAAAAAACCCAATTAAATAATACTTAATAGTACAATAAATAATAGTATTGCATTATATCCAAGCATCAACGTAAAAGGGTGACATGCACGTACTCGGTGGTGCTCGTCAGCTCCTTGCTCACCAGAGCCGTCTGGAGGATTCCCTCCCGTTTCTGCTCAAACAACATCACAATGCTTCATTACTACATGAGAGAGGAACGGATGCATCTTATTAAAAGCACATGAAGAAAAAGGCAAATACATAAACTGACACCGTGCTTTTTAATATTACGTTAGCGTCTTTATAGTGTCTCTGTTTCTGTGTTTTTTGCTGCCAAACTTAAGGACCAGATTCTCTTCTCAGAAATAACTACGCGTCTCCCTTTTCATCCCTTCACCGTTGGAGCCATCGATGAGCCGCCTTGTTCACCACGTTGATGGACCACTTTACCTTGACGACCACCACCTTGGCAGAGACGTGCTCCGGCAGCCTGATGGGAGCCTGGAAGTGCATCGCAAGAGCCACCAGCAGGTAGACGATGGCCACCAGGTTCTTGGAGTGGATCGCTGTGACAGCAAAGCACGAGGGAGGACAGTCAGCTCGTCGAATCACGCAAACTATTGTCTTGAGATTAAAGCTGTGTTAATCAAGGTAGAAGATTATGTGTTGAACTGGTTTAACCCTGTAAAAACAATCCCATAACGTCTTTTGTGGTCGCAGCAGAGCCCCAATGATGTCATCAGATTGAGTCTTGATTATTAACAAAAACACTACATTACAAAATAGATGTTTGGGGTCTGAAGGTCGTGGGAATTTAGAAAGATGCAATGGATTGGCACTATGGGAAATGTAGGCATTCTTTTTGACGCATGAGTCAAATCGAGATATCTCTGTTCTTCTTTTTGGATCCGTCTCTCGGGAGTTCCTGAAATGTTCTGAAAGTGAAAAAGCTAATCTCTAAAGTACCAGTCGGTGTGAAACTCACAGTCCACGCTCCACTCGATAGTCCAGCCGTGAGGCCGCAGCAGTTCGTTGACGGCCTCCAAAACAGTCTGAAGCTTCTGCTTCTGGCCGATCTCGGACTGGGTCACCTCGGCCACGTTCAGCTTCCTGCCCGACAGCTTCTCTGCCAGTGTCAGGGAGAGCAGACATCAGCACACACACACACACACACACACACACACACACACACACACACAGGGAAAGACTTTCCATTCGCAGAGGACAATCATCAATGATGTTCATGTTTCCATCAAGCAGCATAAATCAGTGGGTTGTGCTGAGCAGTTCAACTGCAGCAGGCATGCAATGTTTAAAACATGTATGTACAAGGCACACATTAGTTTGTGTGTTGTTCGTTTGAAAGCAAGGACTGGATCATCTGAAAAATGTACAAATGCAGCGGCTGCAGACAGCAGAAGCTCGTCTGTTCGCACACTGTACGTTCATATAAAAACAGGAAATCTCAAATGGGAACTGATGCAATACAAGAGGGAGAGAGCAGAAGGTGCAACCGAGATAAAAGTTTGAGAGTTTGAAAACTGAAAAAGGCGAATGAGGAATGAGGAAAATAACACACCCCTTCACAGAATGTGTTTTAGTTGCTGTTCTCACTTCTGCAACATATGGAACCAAATGTCAGTCCCGTGTTGCACTACCTGGCTGTTGTCATTTGCGTTCTTTACGTTATATTTTTGCACAGAGCTTGAGACATTTGGCTCTGCTGCAATAATTTAATACTGAATGCTCAGTTTTTAATTTGATTACATTAACCACTGATATTTAACATTGATAACTGCAAAAGTTATCATCCGAATATTGTATTAACATTGTGTTACATAAATCTGGAAACGTTGTCAGCCTGCTGTAGCAAATGTCAGCCACAAGGGGGACGTCCCGAACAGACCAAAAACTCGAAAGACAACATGTTCATTACAGAAGAAACAGGTTTCCAGCACCAGCTTGTCATTAAGTGAGATGTGTAACGGCAAAGAAACCAAGTTCTCACCAAATAACTTCTGGAGCACCTGTCCATCATAACAGTCCTCCTCCAGGTCTTTGACTATGATCCTGTCTTCCTCCAACTCGCTGTTGATCCAGTCAATCAGGACCTGGATGCAAATCGTAGGAAAATAAAGACAAACTTCTTGTTCTGTTTTTATATATTTCACTGCTCCGGTTGTCCCGAGCAGACGCGATGCTTTAGAACAACATATGATACCTTCAACAGATCTTTAAATTTAAGATTTTCCCGCGATGTTGGGTCCAACATGATCCTCTCAGCGTTCTCCTCTGCAGAATATGGGAGAGAAATTAAGACGCTCCATTTAGTTTCATTTCCTACACATGTAAGTTCCCACTTTGGACACATAAACGGATAAATGCAGCTGCAATCACACACACAGATACAATGTTCTTATCGGCCACACTTCAACAGTAATTCTCATGGTGACTGGAGAAAGGCGTCTCCCCCTCGAGCACTTTCATTTCCTCCTCCTCCTCCTCGTCTCCATTACTCAACATGTGGACTCGGTAACCTCTGACTGTCTTATGCAAAAGGTCTTTCACATACAACACTGTAACCTCTGGCCCTTGAAGTAACACATATTACACATTCAGGCAGTAATTGTGCGTTAACTAAATGTGATGCTGCTGTGTTTATATACCGAGCAGTGTGTCCTCCGGATGGATGTCTGTCCCTGAGGGGAGCATGGGAGCGTTGATGGCATTCTTCCCCTCCTCATGGAGATCACTCACTGGTGAGACAAAGACACACACACACAAACAGAACAAAGAGGAAGGTTGTCACAGTCACACAGTGACCACAATCACCACGAATTCCTCTTGTGAGGAAAGTGTGCATTTAATTTGATGACCGCTCGTGGACTCTGATACTCCTCCGCTGACACCTCTTCGGTCCACCACCACTTTCCTCCACTCAGCCTCCGAGGAAAACTAAGAGCCCAGCAGTTGTGTTGTATAAAGCTCGGTGGAGTCTGATAAATGTCCTCCTGTGATGATTTGAAAAACAAATGGGCAGTTGGGCCGTGTAGTGTAGTGTGCGTAGGGTGCGTAGGGTGTGTAATGTGTGTAGCCTGCTCCTCTGCTCGGGGCTCAACTTACTTAGAGCTACATTAAGCACCGCAGCGTGCATTACCAATTCAACCTGCAAGTGCTCCGCGGCGAGCATGAACAATGCCTGCAATAAAAAATGTCCATCGACCGTGAGTCAGACAATGTTGTCTATGTGCAACAATAAGTCGTACTTTTATGTCACATCTTTTAACACTGATTCCTTATGAAAATGTTTTAAAACATATTTATCCTTGTTTTAGTTTAAAGGTCATGATTTCATTGTGTGCATGCCTTTTGGATACAGAATATTCATAGTTAATCATATGGAGAAATATATGATAATTGGTATACATTTGAATAATGTATTCATTCCAATTATATGTGGTACTTTTTACGCCGGCCCAGGTCCGATGGTTGGTAGAAACAAGCTGTGAGTTTGAGCTGCAGTGTGAGCTGTCACACGTCTGCCACTTCCTAAATGTTCTCCACCCTTCAGTCATTCTCTGTAACCACAGATTACTTTGAAGGGCGTGGTGCATTAATTCAGAAATTCAATAATCGAAGCATGTTTCTTGCCACTATTGTAACGGCTGTAAACATACATCAGACTCAAATATGATTAGAGCACAGATCTTACATAAAACTGGGAAAATATGAGTTCATTTTAAGGCGCCCAAAACCTAAAAGTTACAAATACTACACACACACACACACACACACGTTCTGAGTCAGGTCTCGAATAAATGAATTACCATTGGGATGCTTTTAGCGCTAACTGGAGAGACACTGCAGGGATTCAAAGGCTTTCTTCCCCTAATGGACCCATTGCGTTTATGATCCTGCAACAGGCGGAACTACAATTGATGGCCTTAATCTGTCCTTTCATTGACTTTGCTATTTATACATTGTGGGAGGAGAACCAATGGCTTCACTTCAAATTACTTTTATTTAATTGAAATTAGACGTCTCTAATTGATAATATAACAGAAGTTCTGAACTATGTGTTTATGACACAATCTGGACAAAATACAAACGAGTGCAGAGACATAATTAGCCCAGGAGGACGGGTCCCCACAGATTTCCAATCCGATTCAGGCTTCTGGTGAAGAGCGGAACATCAGCCATCTCTCTGCAGATCGGCGGATTGCTTTGTAATTACACATCAAGCTTAGTGTGTTTCATTATAATTGTGCTGCTTCCTCCCTCAGAGTCCCTTGTGTCGTTGCTGCCGGCACTTCACACCAAGTTAAACGACGACAACGAATTTGTGGAAGCAAAGATACTGTCACCCGCTGGTCCGGAGGTAGAAGCAAAATCCTCAGACACACACACATTTGTTTCTGTAACCCTACGTACTTACATCTCGGTGATCTCTCACAACAGCACATTTCTGGACGTTAACCTGCTGCACTGAGGCAACTGGTCCTGCTTCCCCATTCAAACTTCCAATTTCCTCAAAGCACAACATTTACCTTGTTTCTTCCTCTTGGTCCCACACAGCAGCCCGGCCATGTTTACACTCGATGGCAGCGGGTAGAATAGGTACTATGGTAGAATATGCAGGAGTGTATGAATACGTGTGTGTGTGTGTGTGTGTGTGTGTGTGTGAATGCTACTTGGTTGGACTGAGCAGTGAGATGGGCGTCATCACGTGTTTATTTCTGTCACAACCCCCCCTTCCCCCCTCCCTCCTCAGTCTGTGGTCCAGTTACAGGAGACGCCGAGGGCTGTGCGTTTGTGTTGTGTGTGTGTGTGTGTGTGTGTTCGGCACAGGAAAGTCCACACTGGACATAAACGCACAAAATCCTCTCAACACCGGTAACCTGTGGGCGGCTTGACAGTGGACAACCTGCAGGTATCCTTTCTTTTCATCCCAATATCAGTGCATGTCTTATTGGCTTTGTTGTTTTAACACTTTTGGAATCTATTAATTTAACATCAATACCTGAATAGTTTTTTTTTAATGGAGCCTATAATAACCGAATCAATCAGGCACCGGCTGCCATCGTGTTAATGGAATTACAGATGTTCAACACAGATCAAAGCCTGCAGTGTAATTTACCATCAAACGCTTCTGTTGGTTTTTACAAGCCGTTGGGAGGGTGGGTGGGGGGGGGTAAAGGGGGGGGGGGGGGGCACAGAGGGTTATAGAACAGCCACAGCGTCTGGTCAGATTAGTGTTTTTGCTTCAGAGAGAAAAAATGTTCTCAGCGTAATCAGTCGGCATCATAAACAGCAGATTGAAATCAACCTCATGTGTTTGGTTCCACTGCTCCCAGAGGGGGGGGGGGACTGGGGGCACACAGGGAAGATATAAATAATGCAGCCGTGTGGAGAAGACAGGCTGCACCTTAAATATAGCCGTGGTTATTTACACCAACACAGGCACCAGTGAGTAACCGCAGACATGAGCGTGTTCTTAGTTCTTCTTATGTACTTCAGTCCCTTGTTGGGTTGTAATTATGGATTCATGCTGGTTTGTCATTTATTTATCTTTTTCTTTACATAAAACCATAGCACGTATATATTTTATTGGGTCAAAGACTACTGAGTGGGACCACACTGCTGAAAAATAATCATTGTAGGGCTCTCAAAGAAAAAGGATATTATGTCAAATGTATCTTCAGTATGTATACCCTATTTTCTTGTTAGAATATCAGCCATATTGATAAACTAATACTCGTCACTAGTCAAGTTTACTTTACTTTGACATTTCAGTTGCACAATGGCTTGAAATAGCTTCTTGCATTTGTTGGATTAACATATATTAAATGTCTACTAATTAAATAATGAAATTGACCGTACATATATAAATAATCGCTTGCATAAAGATGCTAGATTCTTAAATCAGCAGAAACAACAGTAAAATAATTCTAATGATGTTGCTTTCATTTTGGGATGTTTAATACACTGATTAATACACCGTGTACTGAAGTTATATAAAAGTAGTAACAATAAAATGAGTGTATTAGCTTAGTAAAAAAGACAAAAAGCAACAATAAACAGATGACTTACTAGTATCAGCATCCATTCTGTGTCTGGGTAGTATTTTGTGTTTTCAGAGAGTACATACGTGAGATAACACAGCAGGGATGTGGCCTGAAGTTCATCCTCTCTGTGTCTTTTTGTCTTCACTACACTATCACTTGTGCAGCCGGTGTAGTTTGTTGCTGATAACGGGACTTACGCCTTGTCAGAGAGATGCAGACTTCCTTTCCTTCCATCAGGATACAGAAACATGAAGATGGGGCTATAAAAGTTCCTTTCATGTCACGTTGTACAGCCTGAAGCAACACTTTCCATCCCACCACTGATACAACGAGAAGAGGAGGGTTTAAGCGCTTTAATGTGGAGCCCAAACCAATGAGGCCATTGATGATTATTCAGCAAACGAGAAGAAACTTTTCCAGTGGCGACTCTTCCTCTAAAAGAATTCAACGTACGCACCCAAATGTTACAGAAGCCACAACAACAGGAGCAGCAGCATTTATGGCAACTAAGAAGAATTAAGATGAAACCGTACAGGTTGTTTCCCCCCTTGTTCTGCTTTTTAATCTAACATGACATATTCATCAGCTGGACTTTAATCCACTTTGACCACACAGGGGCACTGCACTCAACCCCCCCACAGAGGCTACGGGATTCCCCTCTGCCCCCACTGGAGGCCCCATTACCTTCGTTACTGACTTCTAATCATATCTGGCAGAATAAAAGTCTGGGGACCACAAAGGTTTTTTTTAAGATAAGTTGGAGGTTTAAAAGAAAATGGAAAAGAACCGTTGGATTGTTTGTTGCATCGTTCATCACATATTAGCAGAGAGGGAAAATGCTTGCGGCTTCGCAGTCACAAGCTTGTAAGATGTGGCATCTCTTGCTCTCTATAAAAAAAGTAAAATATCCTACAATGGGTAAAAAAGACTTCTGTGCTCCGTATTTTACGGGGTCAAGAGTTTTTGAGACATCATTCTGCAAAATGCTGTTTTGTGTTAATTTTGGACTCAGAGCAAATCTGTTCCCATGGTTTCAGTGAAGCTTTAAGCACTAGCAGCAGGAAGACAATTATTCTCATTTCCTCTTTAAACCAGGAAACAACCCACAGTTATCATCTAATTACTCGATGAGCTGAGCTTTTCTCTGTTCAAAGCCGTGTTAAGAACAGAAAAAACACTTGGCATGACGCTGTAATTACATTATATTACAGCTGCAACTCACTATTATTTTCACCCGCCATTCATTTTCCTGTTCATCATTGATTCTCTAATAGTATAGAAACAGAAAGTGTTCATGGCCCAGAGACAGAGGAGACAAACTGGTCTTTTCACCTGACCAACGGTCCAAAATATGAGTGTTTCATTTACAATGACACAATGTAAACAAATACACATTCAAAGAAGCTGGAACCTTCATTTTTTCTTTCTTTCAGAATAATAGTTTGAGATATGATATATGTTCTGTATCAATTCATCCTGACATATTCTCATTTAGACAACGTAAAATTGTTTTTTATAGATTTACGTGAGATGGGATTTAATGAGGCTCCTAAGGCCCTGATACTGTGTGCAGGTCCCCCTGCTGGGAACACACACACACACACACACACAGGTGTTAAACCTTGCAGCTGTCTGTCTTACCACAATGTCTGGCCTTTGGCAGGGCAAAAAATAGTTTGAACAACCACTTCGTTCTGTCCTACAAAAAGTACGACAATAAGTCCGAAAGTTTATAGAAGTGAAACACGGCGAGCCCCGTCATCCTCTCCCTCATCCCATAATAAGCGCGCATTCCGTGCCTGTTTCATCTATTTATATCCATCGCCTCATGCTAAAGGACTGTGGACTTGCTCACAGGACCTTGTCTCACATGTCCTTTATTCACTTGGAGAAGGTTGTAAATCCTGTGTGCAGTTGATTAAAGTGCCGGTGATATTCCAATAGCGCGTCATGTGATTGCAGCACCATGGACAGAAACCCCAACGAGGCCTTCCATGACGTCACTCCCTCAAACGGATCATAATGAAGTGACTTACCTTCCTTAGACTTCTTCCTCCGCACGAGGGTTCCTCCTAATTTCCCGAGGAAGGATTCGTCCTTTTTCATTTTTGCGGGCTGCGCGGTCGCAGACATCTTTCAGTGCGACGCGTTTGGGTGCTCTCTCTCTCTCTCTTTCTCTCTCGCTCGCTCTCTCTCTCTCTCTTTCTCTCTCGCTCTCTTTCTCTCTCGCTCTCTTTCTCTCTCTTTCTCTCTCGCTCTCTTTCTCTCTCGCTCTTTCTCTCTCGGCAAACGTCACTGTGATGCGTTCAGGGAACCGGCGTAGGGTTAAAAACAACGCCAAATGCATCCGCGGATAGAAGACGAATGAATCACATGTGTTTGTAGCTTCATCTGCTTCACTATTTACCGCAGGGTCTCCCCGCAGCGCCGCCTAGCGGCAGGCCAAGGAGAATTCAGTGCATAATGCTTGTTTCTCTAAAAGGTATAAAGTATTGTTTTAATGGAAACATTACTACACAATACATAGAAGTTAAAGGCCTGCACTTAAGCATTTTAATAATAAAGTAAAGTATTCATTATGCAATTACATTTACAAACCCATCCAATGTTTTGTGTGTAAAACTTTATTAGAAATTAAGAGTTCCCTCTGAAAAGTGGTGTAAAAGGACGAATTAGGAATAAATGGAAATATTTTAGTTATTCACTAGTATAACAATTCAAATTTGCCAGGAGTAAACATTGGGTAGCACACGGTAACAATAAAAAGAAATTATATTAACGTTTGATGAAAAACTTGCTAAATACACAAAAAAATTAACCGATGGGAAATCTTTTTTGTTTTTATTCTGCTATGTCCCCACACTTAAATGTCTCTCTGCGTGTTTCAGGCCTGCCACGCCCCTCCAGCCGCTGATGAGCAAAGCTGCGGCGCATCAGGCGATCAGCATCACCTCCTCCTTGTGATCCACATTAGCTGTGTCTCAAAGTCGCATCCTTGCCGCCTGCAGCCTTCGTAGACCTGGACTGCGTCCCCCAACAACCAAAAGCTTTACTCTGCTGCTGCTGTTGCCTAGCAACCTGCTGTGCTTGACAGTAAAAGTCTCAAAGGCCAAACAAATTACAAAGTACAGAAAAATAATCTTATCTTATTTCATTTCGTTTTATTTAAATTTTATTTCTGGTGTGCTTCAGCAGGATCAGCTTCTGTTTTCATTCCAGGTTCTGGTGCTGCTTTCAGGAGACAGAATTTCACAATAAGTTGGTTTGTTTCAAACTCTCTGGATGCCACATGTGACGCTGCTGTTGTGAAGTCACCTGGGCCCGGTTTTTCAAAAGTAATCCACTAGGATTTTGGATAACGGATTGGATCAAATCTTGAAAATGGATTTTTCAAAAGAAAAAACGGATTACGGATTATAATCGGATTAGATCACGTAATCCAATCTTGGTTTTGATCCGGATCAAACCTTTAGTTCTGGGTTTTTTAGAACTTTTTTGTAGGATTTGGATCACTTTGATCCCAAAAATCTGAATTAAACTGATCCCATCAGAAGGGTGGATTTAGCGTGGATTTCATGCCCAAAATGTATCAAATAATTACTATATTTGGATCATGCAGTATCTTACAAGATATCCTATTTATTCATAAGGTTTTAATTTTATTTGTTCATCCGTCAGCCTACAGTGATTAGGTAGGCTTTAACGTATTCGGCCTTTCAGTATAGGCCTACAGCAAAGTAGAAAGAGTTTGGCCTCATAAAATAATCCACCAAAAAGCTGTCAAAATTGACCAAAAACAATACATTTTATTCTGTCACTAATTTATTTATATAATATATATTCACTTACATGTGATTCAATCACAATCGAAAATTTTTGTTTTTAGCATATTTATTAGTGATGCATGCAATGATTACAGAATAACCCCAAAAATGCAAAGAATGGCAATCACAGATTTTTGAAATCCAAAACAAATCCAAATCAGAAATAGTGTCTAACTATTGCGTCTCTTGTTGCACGTCCGGTTTGCTCGTTCTGGCAGAGGAACAACTGACTCTGACCAAACTGCAGCAAACCAAGGCCAGACTTCTAAAGGCTACGCTCAGACAAGCTGGTCTCTCCACATCAGATGAGGAAGTCTGAAATTATTGTGGAGTATTTGACATTAAGTCCTTTTTTTAATTCAATACATCTATATTTAAAACTTGTTATAAATATCTTCAATGTACAGTGTTTGTGTTGTAGGTCTCAGATGAGCGGACTGCTGGAAGAGGATGGAGTCCGTTTTTCTTGTTTTTATTTTATTTTTTTAAATGTGTGTTTTCATTTCAAATAAAAATAAACTCATATTGAGCCCACATTGGCTATTCTACTTGTTGCTCTTTACATATCTATATTGTGATTTCCTATCCTGTTTGAGCACTGGTTCTCCAGTTCCTATCCGGATCAGATTGATCCAATCCGATGTTGCTTTGAAAAACTGGCTCAAAAGTAAACTGGATTACGTGATCACGGATCGCAAAAAAAAAAAAAGGATTACTAAATCCGGATTAAACTTTTTGAAAAACCTGGCCCTGTTGTCTGCAGTAGCTTCCAGTCCGCCTGTAGTCTGCTCCTCAGTCCCTCCAGCGCCTCCACATCCTCCTGCAGCGGAGCACCAAGCCTCCCCAGAGAGGCGGCGGCGACTCCGAGGAGAGACGAGGCCGTCGGGCCGACGCACTCCTTCTCACCTTCCTGAAATAAAATAATGAAAATGACCAAAAACAGCAAAGATGAAGCCGCAGATGAGCGCGTACACCTCTCCTCCTTCTCACCTGCATGAGCACCAGTGTGTGTCCTTGAGCGAGGCCCTGCAGCAGGCCTGTCAGTTGTTGCCACGCGCCGTCACACAGCCCGCTACCTGGCGACCGAACCAACAGAACCAGGCTCGGGTCGTACTCGTATCCCAGCGGCAGCACGAGGCCCAACACCGCTTGTGTGAACCCAGACACGTCACTGCAGCCCTGTGAGAAGACAAACACACTTTCTGTTTGCTTATGTCATCCAACACACACGTCGTAACAATAGGAGCATAATCATGACAGCATTACTTCAATATTAATTTGTTACAAGATTTAATAAAGTACATTGTAAAAACCCAATATTGTTTTCAATACCTTTTAATCAACTAAAGTAGGATTGTACGCGACTAAATTTGTTCTTGGTCGACTTAATCACACACTGATTATTTACTAGAAATCTGTTGAGTGGAATAAAGGAATTGAAGAAAATAACCACTTTCCACTCTCTTATGATGCTGAGAATAAACCGAACATGGTAACACTGAATTAGCATCCTCTGCAGTCTGACATGCTCCAAGACGATGTGACTTCACCAACACTACAGTACCTTCTTCAGACACAAAGGAATGTGAAATCTGCGTTTCTGTCCCTCGGACTCCTCGCTGCTGAACTGCACCAGGAGAGTTGTCCTGAAGATGGGAAGATCTCGTCAGGTTTGTACTGTTGCAGAATTAAATATGTTTTCAATAGCTCAAGGGAGATAATTTGAACACAATATCATTTTGAGACACACAAATGACGTTCACCCGTCGTCTGTGCCTTGACTCGGGACCGCCGCGTCTCCAACACACACGATCAAAACCCTGCATGAGGAGAAGCCGTTTCCAACCAGACAGATTTACGCATATTCATGATAATATATTTGAATGAACGAGCCATTTCAATGTACATATGGATCAGATCCACATTACTATACCGGTCGAGGTGCGCAGCTTCAGCATGCTGGACAACACACATCATCGCCATGGAGACATCACGGACCAACGCCAAGCCATTGCAGATCTGAGATGTGGTGATTGAATATAATCAGCTTGCAGCTCACGTGGGCAAGTGAGAAAATCAGATCATACAATAATACCCAGACGGTACCTCGTTCTGCTCCATTTTCTGCACAAGGGCAGTAAGACTGGAGAGGGTTGTGAGGGCGTCGCTGTCATCTGAATCTTTGAGAAAAGTCTCCCTTATTGTGGAAGGATCAACACATATACAACAAGCTTTAATCCCGACGTTATTTTAAATGTAAAGCCATCTTTGATATTCTTCCTGTTTCAATACAAAAGGAGACGATTATGAAAAATGGTACCTGAGTTTGTTGACTTTGCTGGGGTCCGCTGAAGAGCTGAAGCGTGTACATCCCTCCGGGCAGACCACGCCATCGGGGAGGACGAGCGCAGTGCGAACCGGAGGCGCGGCGCGTTTCAGAGGCTCCGACCACTCCTCCGACTCCGCGCTTCTCTCCTCTTCGGCCTTCTGCTTTTCTTGGCCTCCTGCCGTTAACTCAATGCCCTTTGTGCTGACATCAGAGGTAAGTAGGTCGGCTGGAAGAGGAAAAATCCAATATTTTATAAAGTAGGGAGGTAAAAAGTCAACTCTGATAAAGTTAGCAGCTCGAGGTTACATTGGCGCTGTTAGTGGCCGGGTTGCATTCTGGGCACCAGCTTTTGACATAGAAGCAGAATGTGTAGAATATGATAAAGATAATGGTTTTAGCACACACAAAATAAATGATTAAGCACTATGCATTGGGTTAACACTGAATAACGCATAATCATAAGTCATTTTTGCGTCACATGATGCATCCGTCACTATGTTATTGTTCCGGGCGCAAACCATCTCACAGTTTCTCCATTCAGCCATTTCTCACCTACACAAACTGCACATACTTCTTCTGTATGGGCTGATTTTGATGTTCTATTTAGTTTAAATAGGATGTTGGTATTCAATTGCATACACTTTCCATATCTTTAGCTCTGTTGTATCAAATTAGATTTTTTTTCCCCCTCTGAACTGTCCATGAGTCAAACCCACTCAAACAGTGATATCAGCATGATGCTTTTTTTTTAAAAGGAATAGATGAAAAAGCTCGAAAAGAATAACGTTGTTATACCTGCATGTTTGAGGCAGGACCAGTACGGCCTGTGAGCGGATCGCACACAATGAAGGGACTCAAGTGCACTGAAAACAGAAAGACAAATTCACTACTGATGTAAAACACACACACGCAGGTCATTTAACCCGACGGTAGACCGACCTTGCACAGGGACCGTCGAGGTTTGCAGGTCGCGGCGCAGGGTCTCCGAGCAAAGTTTGAACCGTCTGACACACAGACTGGTGGAGGGAAGTCAAGTTGTACCCTCCCTAGAAAACCCAACACAGTATTTTACAACCAAATGTTGCATCGACAGAATGGCAGCGAGCTTGTAGCGCATGTGTGGCCTGACCTCCAGCACAGCGCACAGTTTCCCCCCTGCGAGGTTCATCAGCAGGTGAGTGAGGTGGGCAAAGACGTCGGGGCTGGCACACATTTTACCCTGAAAATAAAAACCCACTGAAGTCAGTTTCGTAAATACGTCCCAACGATGGCGAGCAGACTGGACGCAGAGTGATGCAGCACACACAAATCATTAGATAAAAAAACTAACAAAATCCAAGGCAACCTTTATTTCATCAACATTTCTTTTAGATTGTCTAAAACTATCAGGGTTTGGGAAATGCCACAAAGGAGCAACTCAATCTTTTTTCACTAAAGTCACCGTTAGTGATGATGTCGTCCGGAACTGAATATGTGCAGTATATATAATACATAACGCAGTGCGGTATAATTTAGTTTGCACATTTCAGACAATGTAACCAAAAACAGAAAATTGCTAAATTTATGGCACAGCTGTTTGTACAGGTGAACCTAATAAAACAGCCGCAAAAAAGATATAAACAAATATATATATATATATTTATATATCTAATGGCTTTTTATAGATCAGTACCTCTGGATCACCAATAGCTGAGTCGAAGCCTGCACACACCAGGACCAGGTCTGGGCTGAACTGTGACAAAGACACACATAATCAATCCTACATTGGCATAAATAATATCCAGCACATCAGTATCAGTCGGCGGGATGAGCGCTTTACCTCGTATGCGATCGGCAGAAGGACGTGACAGAAGACCGAAAGATAGTCGCTGTTCTTCATTCCCACCTGAATTTTCAGGGTGGGACTTCATTATTACACAGATTTAAAAAAAATGTTCATATACACGAACATGTGCACCCAACTATCCAAATAAATGATTTACATGGTTGTGGAAATAATGTTTCACCTTGGTCGATAAGGCACATCGTGTTCTGGTTCATCTGTTAATAAATAAATCTTGTGTGTCGATGTAATCTTGCATTGCCAAAGACGCTACATCTGAAGTCAACCAGCACTTAGTTTTTGCCCAGAGCCACCCTTGTTTTATCACGCATATCTCTTCTATATAATCCCACTTCAAAGAGCAATCACTGTGAATAGAATGTTCTCGGGTCTCAGCTTCAAAAATTGGTAATACTGCCAGTTTGTTCCTTTGTTTACTTTAAAATCGATAATTTATTACATTCAACGTAGAAATGACAATAACTTGCAGTCTATCGACAGGTACCTACTTTGTTCCATGGTACGTTGACATTGAATCCTGCCCCTTTCTCTTTGCCAACACAGTCGTAGTCGGAGTCCCTAAGATGAGGCCAGAATTTCTGATGCTCGTATCGGTGCCACGAGAAATAAAGCACGCTGGGAATAGAAAGTAGAGCGCAGGGTGTGTGATGCTAGATAAAATAACAGCTGTGGAAACCATTTAGCTGGTCATTTAGCACGGCCTCACCTCGGATCATCTTCAAAACAGTACTGCACCCCTTGACCATGATGTACATCCCAGTCAACTATTAACACCCTGGAATATATCAAGAAATCAATGAATACTTTGTGGAAGAACCAGTACAATGTGTTTTTCAAGAATAAAAGGAAACAATCGCAGTACCGCAAGTTACCTTTTAATCCCGTATTTTTGTTTGGCATATCGGGCCGCTATGGCCACGTTGTTGAACACACAGAAGCCGTTGGCAGCGCTGCGCATGCTGTGGTGCCCTGGTGGTCTGTCAACGGGAACAAAAGACAGCTTCCAAACAAACCCATCACGTTTTGCTTGGAAATACATCAAAAGTAAAAAGGGACGTAAAAAGGCAACGAAAAGGAGGTAAAGTTAACAATTAACACCAAAGTAGAACGACCGAAGAACGTGAGAGGCCTCACCTGACCAGAGCCATGCCGTTCCTCACCTTCCCCGTCATAACACTGTCCACCAGTTGCAGGGTGGCGCCTGCAGCCAGCTTGGCACAGTGATAGATGTTCTAGGACAGTGAAGGGTAGAAAATGAAGGCTTTGCTGGGACGAGGAGCGAAGCTGACCGATGAAAGTGAAGGAATGGCAGATGGGAGATGCAGATGGAGGCGCAGGGCAAGACTGACTGGGTGAAAGTAGACGTCGCCATACTGCAGGGTGAACTCCATCAGGTCCTCCAGAGTCATGTAGGGGGTCTTCTTCACTGCCTCCAAGTACTCCTCACTGTTAAGGGCAGCAAAGTGCATGTGGAGGAGCGGCTTTAGCGGTTTATTTCGGCCTCAGGAGGAGAAAAGAACAACAAACTGAAGCAGGTCAGAACCGACCTGTGAACCAGCAGGATGTCGGCGTCGGTCGCCTCGCGCACTGGGACGGAAATGCATCGATCAGCCAGACCGGCCTTGAGCAAAGCTTCATGACTCACAGTCAGGCGCTCTGGTACCTCAATCTTACAGACAGGGCTGGAGAAAAGGTTTTATTATAATGGTACTCCGTACGGTTTCATCGTGTCATGGATTTGTACATAAAGTATGTGGTAGGTGTCGATGCCTGTTCAAGAATCGTTGTCCGTCTTATATCTGTAGGTTACATTTTTTTTAATGGGATAAACTGAGCTCAAACCCCATTGAATGATGACTGAGACTGCGTGAAACTGATCCGCTCAGATTCATCGGAGCACACATTCGGATGAGGATCGAACCGGGGCCTGACCTTTGAACCTTACGTGCTCTCTAAAGCCACGGAGGGAGGATAATGACTGACCACACACGTTACCTAGAACATTGATCAGAACTCTATCATTAATAATATATTGCAGATTATATTAAATACCTAACTTGTTTAACTTGTCAACTACTTTTTTATTGTCTCTTTTAAACTGTACAAATGTTACTTCTTTCACTTCTTTCGCAAAATGTAACACCTATTTAACACGTTTTACTTAAACCAACATGTTAGGGTTAGGTACTCAAACAACCACAACGTGCGTCATATAAAATATATATTGCGCCACATATTAATGAAAAATGTTGAGCGCAGTCGTTAGTTGAAGCATAAAGCGCGATTCATTCACTCACTCGGTCCAGAGCAGCTTGTACTTCGTCATCTCGTCATCGTACAGCAACGCCGTCCCCATCTTCATCACACGAGGGTCAACAGTAAAACGCTTTTCTCAAACGAAGAAAGTGCGTAAATGAAATAGTTTCTTCTTGTGAGCGAGCAGTTTCGGAACCGTTTCGGATCAAAGTGTTCAAAGTGCGCACGAGGTCCGCGGCGCGGATCTATTTCTCAAACTAAAGTCCGGCGCATGCGCATGCTTCTGCGTCGTTGCGTCGACGCACTCGTTTCAATTCATGGTTCTAAAAGTCTTGCGTGTGTTGCAGAGCGATTCACCTCCAGAACAAGAGGCGGAGTGACGTGTTTGGTTGAAGACGACCTAGAGAGTCACGTCTATTTATTTATTTGTTTGTTTATTTATCATAGACTTTATTGCCCCGTGCATCACACTGCTGCTTTTCATCAAGGACACATTTGTCCCGTATTTTCCTCCACGACTTTGTTCTTCTCGACCGGCAAACCGGCGTTTGCGGCGATCTCCCTCCAACCCGCTTCTAAACCCGCCAATGACGGCTTGTAGAAGCGCTCATATTTACGCATTTGTTCCGACAAAAGTTCTTCAATCTGCTCCGTTCTCTCGTAAACATTCTTCGTTTTAATAATGGCCGTATCGGGCTATGAAAGCGGAAATGTGAGACTCCGTAAAGGACGTAGTTAGCGGACCAGTCGCAGACTGGTGCTGCGGGAGAAAATGTCTCGACACGCGAGGACGCAAAGAGGTGTGAAAAGCGACGCACGGGGGTCTTGCGTCTGCGTCGCTCTGAAAACGCAGAAGCATAAACTAGGCTTAACCATTAAAATGCACCTAAAACACCGACACGCCCGTTTACTTCTCTTCATAATAAACAACAGCATTGGTGGAGGCGAGTAAGTCTTCCTCGAGCTTTATGGAGGTCGTTAAACAGTTTAATCACAAAACAGCGCCCCTCTGTGGACGAGGCCTGCTACCAACCTCCTACTTTTAAGTAGCAATTCATTAGTTTAGATGTACATTACATATTTTTGGATGTACTATATTTTCTCACAAAAGACACCTGTTTGTTATATGATACTTTTTTTAATAGAAATACAAACAACGGTGCAAGAAAAGTCAGTAAACAACTCAGAGTGTTTTACTAGTACAAAATATAGAAACAGATCAGATGACATGAGAACATTTTTGTGGATTGTTTCTGTGGGAAATCTGTGGATTGGAATTTGATAAGGATGTTTATTTGGAAAAATCTTGACCTCTAACACAGATTCTTCAAGCATCTGAATCCAGGCCACTTTTGGCATTCGTCTTAGGTTGATTGTTTTTAACAATCCAATTTTTCTCATTTTATGGAGTCTCATCATTTACGGCTCCCACCTGCCCCAGCATCTGGTCTTCTCCCTCTGTCTTATCCGCCGTGTCCTCCTGTGTTCTCGATCCTTCATCCTTCGCTCCTTCCCTTCCCTCTCCTCTCCTGCTCGTCCGGCACAGCAGGAGAAGAGCGCCGCTGCATCTCTTCCTGAACGACGGGTCACACGCAGCGTACAGCACAGGGTTAAGGCAGGAGTTGAGGTAAGCTAAACACGTGACGTAAGGCTGAGCCGCCAGTAAAATCTGATCCAAAGAGCACGAGTGAGGGACCAAACCCAACTCCAGCAGCATGGAGACAGTCTTATTAACATGCAGAGGCAGCCAGCACAGAAAGAAAGCCAACACTAAAGTGACGATGACCCTGAGGAGTCTTCGCTGCCGCATGCGGTCAGGACGAGGGCCCCGCCCAAAATGTCTGCTCAGGAGCTGGGCCAATGAGCAGTAGCAGACCAGCAAGATGAGAAGAGGAAGCAGGAAGCCGATGAGAGTCGATTTGACGCTCAACGCGGCCGCCCACCACATCTCCACCTGCTCTCGGTCGCTCTCCTCCAGCTCCGCTCCCATCAGCATGGAGTAATCCATTTGGCAGGAGAGGAAGACTGATCCAGGATCAGTACTGGGATGAACCGCCTCCAGCTGCCAATCGTAATCAGAGTCAGGGTCCACCTCCAGCTCCCTGACGGAGCGCAGCAGCAGACCAGGGAGAGCTAGCACCCCCGCCAGAACCCACACCCCTCCGAGGATCCACAAAGCTCTGCCGGGCCACCTCCGCGGGGCCTGGTGGCCGGAGTGCCGGCGTCCAGTCAGAACCCAGTAGCGCTCCACGCTAAGCATGCTCAGGCTGAACACGCTGGCGTACATGTTGAGCGCAGTGAGGAAGCTGCTGATCTGGCAGAGCGCTTGCCCGAAAGGCCAGTGGTAACCCATCGCCGTGTAGGCGGCCCACAGGGGGAGGGTCACGAGGAAGCAGAGGTCAGCCAACGCCAAGCTGGCTATGAGAGAGTCTGTCAGAGAGCGGGAGGGACGGGAGGCGAAGGGGGGAGAGGAGGATCTACGGCCTTCTGTCTTCCTCTGAGGAAATGAGCCGGGGGCAAATCTACCAGCGCTGTTTATGTTCCTCGGGCGGCTTCTGACTGTGCCGGAGCAACAGAGGTTTCCAGTTCCCCTCGCGTCAGCGCGGTCTAGGTAGGCCCACAGCACCAGGCCGTTGCCAAGGCAACCAACCAGGAAGGCCAGCAGGTAGACGGAGGGGATGATGGAGAAGGAGGGAGACCAGTCGCTGTAATCACAGTGGAAGGGTGGAGGGGGAGAAGTAGTAGGAGAGGAGGGAGAGAAGAAGTCTGCATCTGACATCTGTGCGTCCATCTCTTTGCCACCTTTTAAAATCAATGGCAGTCCAAATACTTTCCTGGAAAGCTGACGTTTGGTCAGCGTGGTGTCACGAGACAATTATTCCCAACTCCTGCAAGGGTACCACGGTTTGCGCATTCCCAGAGTGGATTATCTAACTCCGAACTTCTTCCTCGGTCCGTAGACTCGGATGGTCTGAAGATTTAACAAAACACAATTACATTCTTAGACTTTTGCAACAGGTTCAAATGCTGTGAATACTATAAATGCCTTCCTGTATATTTAGGCCAAGACCTTTCAAGTAATCTTTTCAACAGATGAAATGTCATTAGTGTACGTAAATTGTGTGTTCCTCTCCATGCTGAAACAGAACTGTAATGGTGTCTTAAGCACAAGTTGTGCCTTCGCTGACCATTTTTGAACTTTATGAAAAAGAGTTTGATCGCCACAAGCCAAACCAAAGTCCAAAAGATACCAGATTCTCACATTGCACTAAATGGCTTCAGTAGCTCCCAAAAATATGTTGGATGCTGCTTTTATTTTAGGCTTTCCTAAATAACTGTATCAATCCATACAGTTATTTAGGATGCATGTCAATTTGCACCATAGGGCAATGAGGAGGCCTACCTCGGGCTTGGATGATGAAACGGCCACTGAGATGATGGGGTGAGGATGATTGTCGTGGAGCAGAACTCAGCAGCTTCCTTCTCATCCTGTCCGCTCATTCTACTTTCTCCCTGCGTCTCTCTCCATCTGTATATCAGCACTGAGCGGGCTGAGGAAGGTGTGTCTTCATCTAAAGTCCTCCGCGCACACTCACACACACTACTTTCTCTTATTCTAAAACCAGACCACCCCAGCAGAGAGAGTTACGAGCCCTGCAAATACCCCCCATCCCCTCTCCCCCATTGCACAAACACACAAACCACGAGAGACAGAATAACATCAGCCATCCCCTCCCACAACCCCGAGACACGCAAACAGATCCTCCACAACCCTTAAAGCGGCTCATGTTCTCTGTGCACGGACACACACAAATGTGTGTTAACGCAAACACCCTCTTTACATGCTCAAACACACAGTGCGTACAGTGGTTAAATGTAACAAGCCACACAGAGCGGCAATGAAGAACGTCCCTCATCTTCACAGTCCCACCGCAGCGTCAGAATGGACGGGGCGACATTATTTAAAACCATTATTATGTATATTCCCCGGGGAAAAAAAGAACAATAGTGACAGGTGACAGATGACTCACAGCTGTGTTGTTCCTGGCCAGCAGGAGGCCTCCAATTTACTTTTAACACATGTATTAAATGACATTGAGTTATTTGAAATACTGTACTTAAGTACAATCTGAACACATGTATTGTCTCACCTTTTAAAAACAAATGTTTTCACAACATATTCATTCATGAAATAATATATTTTTGAGTTAAACGGCGCACAAATTGTGTGAATTTGTAAGGTTAAGTTTCTGTTGTGTAGTAGATGGATTGATACAAAAACTGATCAGCATGAGGTTAGAAAACAGTGAGGATGTTTCAATAGTAAACAGGAAGTGTTTGTTACCACAGGGGCAGAGGTCACGCTGCCGTCAACCTGTTGCTATAGAAACAGATGTTTCCAAAAACATTCCACAGTCCTTTCTCTAACAGAAACATGGACACACACACACACACACACACACACACACTACGAGGAAGGAAAGGCAGAGTAAATACAACAGTTTCATTGAAAGGACGGCTGCTCGCTGAGCATCACAGTGGTGAAACAACAGAGAGAAGGAAGTGATGCTGCGTAACAAAACACAAAGAGCAACAGAGCACGTCGACCTGTGTGAGGACAGACTCCAACGCGTACACATGGGTCTTATCAAAGCGGCTGTTATCGATAGTCTGAATGGCAGAGACTGGATTGAAGTTATTATAACTTTGGGAATTTATCCTCTGCCGTCAATGAATAAATTGAATTTCATTCACCATCCAAATAACTGTTTAACTAGCACCACCATTTACTGAATGTAGGATTACTGATTTCAGCCTCAGCTGTAATGTGTATTGAACACTAATTTGCAATCTTGAGATTAAGATAAGATGACCAGCTTCAAATCTTCAAGGGACATCTTCTCAGCATTTCCACTATGAGCGTTGTGAGTTCAACATTTAGTTTATGAAATGCTAAACAGAAATGCCTGCGACTCTCTCTCTCAGCAGTGTTAGTAATCCCGGTTGTGCTGGTGAAACATGGTGAAGGAAAATCTATTTTCACTTGAGAGTAATTCCATTTATGATGTTTGCCTGACTTTTCTTCTAGGCCCGCGAAGCGCTTGTGGCCCAGATGGAAAGCTGTGACCTCTGAGTTCCTCAGACATTAGTGTGATGAGGCGGAAAGGTTTGCAATATCAACCCAATTAAACAAAGGTAATGGGCTTTGTATTGCCTCAGGAGCCGGGAAATCACACATGTAAAGCAACGTTCTGCCTCTTGTTCCCCACAATTCCCCCAATGTTCAGTTCTGTTATTTCAGTACATTTGCCACATGAATACCGTGTAATGTCAGACAGAATTACTCGGAGCTCCTATGGTTGTGCAGGAACTGTTAGGATCCCTGAATTTTCATTATGCCTTGTAAAGTGAAAAAGATAAGAATTTGCATAATACACCTGGGATGCTATGAAGCACAGAGATAAAGTCCACACAGCGGGACACAGTTTTCAAAGGGGTTGGACGCTCTGTGGTAACTGCACCAGCCGCCATGACCGTCTGCAAAGGAGCGGATCGAACGCTCATCGGCCTTCTCGTCGTTGCGATGGCAGCGGCGGAGGTGCAGGAGAAGCTCTCGCCCGAGTGCAAAAAGTTCCTGTACATGGGCACTCTGCCTCGGGGGCTCGAGGAGCAGCCTTTCAAGAAGATCTGCCAGTTCTACGAGGGCCACCCACGATTCGTCACCCTGTACGACACCGCCAACCACATCCCTGTGTATTCTGCGTACACCTTCAAGCGCTCGGACGGCTCCAAGAAGGTGGATGTGCCTTGGATGTATGAGCCACAGGTAGGGGCCCGGTACTTTAGGAAAGCATCATATCCCACGTTCATTAGATCCTTTAGTCGATCAGTGTTATCCGTTACTGTTACCTGGCGTTATTTTGCACTTAACGTCTTTTAACCTGACAGCTCTCCACAGCGTCCGACTCCCGTGAGATGCAGCAGTTCCCTTCGGAAAACGTTCACAGGAATTTTGAGGACGCTCAGGCCGTGCTCGACGACTACTCCAACTCCGTGATCTTTGAACGGGGTCAGCTGAATCCAGACGAGCACCAGGGCGAGCCCAACGACAAAGCGTCCACTTACACCCTGACCAACGTGGTCCCCCAGGTCCGAGAGTTCAACATCGGGCCCTGGAAGCAGCACGAGCACACCATCCGCAGGCGGCTCAACAACTACTGCCGCGGCACCGCCTACGTGGTGACCGGGGTCACCACCTCGGGCAACACCATCCGCCGACACAACATCAACCGCCTGGGCATCCCCACCTACCTCTGGTCGGCCTACTGCTGCATTGATTTTGACCGCAATGCGCCGTACTCGGAGCGGTCAAAGTTTCCTGCGTTTGCGGCTCACGGGATGAACGAGAGGGAGGACAGTAAGGTTCAGGAGATGACCGTGCAACAGCTGGAGGAGTTCCTGAAGAAGGTCACTTACGTCAGCAGCTCTTTCCAGGTCTTCTATGACAACTGTGTGCCTGTCAATGGTGGTAGTAGTGCCCTGCATCTGCCTTGAGGAAATGGGCACTGGTCCTTCTTATTTAGACATACAGAAGCAATTCAACATTTAGCAGCTGAGTGAGTGAATCATCTAAAATATTTTAAGAAATTTACGAACAATTACGACAGTTTCCTTAAATAAACCTAAACTGGTTGCCCACACATATTTGCTTTGTGGCAGCTTGTTTAGTGTTTCAAATGTTAGTCACATCACTATTACTCTGGGTTTTATACAATCTGACTAATATTTACCCATCTTTCTGAGAGGATGTTGTTAAAGAATTTAAAGAAGTGGACCTGAGGGTTTAGATATTGTTACATATCCTTAGAAGGGAAGACTGATCCTCTGTGTTTAAATCTGTCAGGCAATATCAAAGAATTGTAACCAAGGTATGTTTCTATACTTTGCAAATTGTCCAATTTATTAATTTCAATTACGTTGACGCCGATGATGTATAAACTCGCTATCAAAGCCCTACATGGTTGTACTCTTCATTCACTTTATCTTATGTTACCATCACCTCTTAATCACTAGAGGGAACTAAACCTGCCTCTGTGAGCCTTTTGTGCAGACGACCGATTACACCAACTGTTTTACATTTTCACACACAGCCACTCGTCTGTGGTGCTACACAGAACCTCTGCAACCAGAAGAACTAATTCTTGACAAACTCGGATGATTTTTCCGATGAATATTCCCTGCTTGTAAGTATTAAGCCATCGAATGGCCGTTAAAGTAAGTAACTTTCCCCGCCGTCAGATCCTTTTATTTGAAGATCTCAACCATGACATAAAATGTGCACGTCAATAAATAAATTAAATTGGAGCGTAAAAAAAATGACAAGATCACTCATTGTCGGTTCTATTACGAGCTGTTTTGTGCAGCCGGTCATAGTTGATGCAAATAGTATGAAACCATAAAGACAGTGAAATAAACTACGGGGGCAGACACAGCCCCGGGGGGGATGATGCGATTTGGAGCTGGGTCCTGCCAGCTGGCATGTGCCACAGTGGCAGATGGTCGGATACATTATTAAACCATAACATTAGCATACAGAAAATAGCCTAAAATAAAATTCACATCCTGAAGTGTCAGCAGTTAACTCCACAGAGGGCCAGTAGAGGGAGACAAGATGTATGAAGCTAACCACTTTCATGAATACTGTTGTCTGGAGACAGAACGAGGGCCTCTTCAGTGGATTCAATTAAAAAGATCCTCAGGATACAAGTAAAGCAACAGCATATTGACGACACTTGTGTCTTAATAACAGACAAAGACAAACTTCCCATTATGAACACATTTAATGTCTCTCCAATTCACGTATTCACCTCAAAGAAAGAAAAAAAAAAAAAAAAAAAAAAAAAAAGACTGTACAAAACAGGGTTAAAGCCTTCAGACTAATTAAATCACATTTATCAAACAGTCACCGCTGCACAAAAACACTTTAAAGGAAATAAAAACATGATAAATTGTTGCTCTTTGTACTTCAGACAGAACCCGATTTTTCTCTCTCAGCGTACAGACACACTTAAAACCACCAACAGTAAGGAGCCACAGTATACGGGAGCTCTGCTTTCTGCCACAGTCCAGTTCGTGCCAGCGTGCGCGTCGCTCTTAGTTGAACCAGGTGGTATTGAGCTGCGTCTGTTTCTTAATGCTCGTGTCCAACTTGAGGACCTCTCGAATGGCCATGGTAGCGTAGGTTGAGGGAGGCAGAGAGAACTCCATCCGCAGAGCCCGGTACTTCCCCTCTGTGGGAGGCAGGGGAGACAAACTGGATCAGAGCGTGCAAAAAGAGCACTGTGATAAAAAATTTAACTAGCATCTTATATACACATCAAGGTGGGACAGGTTGTTATTCAAACAAACTGTACCTTTGTTGAAGACGGGAGCAGGTTTGTTCTCCAGTTTCTCAAAATCACTGTGCACCAGGGAGATCTTGGGGTCGTCATACTGAACTATCTCCCTGCATAAAGAAAGATATGCCCCAGAACACCCGGTTAGAGCCATCGCAGTACTAGTGTGGTTCAAGTAAAGCATCCAAATAACTGCAGTACATAATACCAGCCTCCTTTAAATAATATACTAGTATTGAATGAGGTGCTAACCAGGTGACCTCACTGGGTCGGATGATGATGCGCCTGTAGGCTCCAGCCAGAGAGTAGTCCTTCACGTTGTGTCTCATGTTGTCGATGTCCAAGCCGTCTGCGGAGAGCAGCTCTCTGTAACCTTTACCCACTGACAGACGGACACAAGCATGGCGGTCAGCTACAAGATCAGGACTCAACTTTACTTTCATTGTTGTCAGTGAAAGAACTTCACAGCTAGCTTTTCATGCAGGCCACGGGCAAACAAATGAAATCACACGGAGCAGCTTCTTACCGGGATGAGAGGGGTAGATGACGTCAAACCCAGGAAGTGGCATCACGATGTCATGGATGGAGCAGGCCTCTGCCTCCGCTGCCGACAGCACGTGTGCTGCAGCTTCATGAGCACAGACAACGTCAGTAGGCAGCGTGTGCACTTTAATGGGTCATTATATTAAAGACTGAAACCCGGAGATAATAAGTGCAATAATAGCTTTATGTACGAAAATACAGCCAGTGGGTAGTTTTGTTCAACGTAAAAATGTTACTGTCAGTTATGAACATCCAAAAAATGTGTGTTTTTTTGCTCCTTTAAATGTGCACTACTTACTTCCTTTGAGCACGAGGTCCCCCTCCACAGCCTTCAGGCCGAAGGCCTCGATTCTCCGGCTCACCATGGTGTTCCACACAGCGCTCTGGTAGCTGTGGATGTACATCAGGCGGTTGTTACGAGGGATCTGAAAAATACAGGAAATATTGTCGGTGTAACTTTGACTGGCTTTACTACTTCTGCTCTGTACGCCTGCCTTACATTTTGGTAGAATAAAAAATGAACCAACCATTCCAAAAGCAGTGACGATGTTCTTCTTTCCGTACATGGACAGGCCCCGCAGCAGCTGCCCCTCAACACAGCGCTTGTTGGGCAGCTTTTTCAGGGCTGCCTCTGGGTCCTGAGTCTTCGCCCACTCCTCCCTGCAGCGGACCAGGAACTCTTTCTCGGCTGGAGAGAGCAGTAAAGACGGAGGAGCGTTTGACACACTGCTTAGCACAAAAGACTGAGGAGGACTAAACAGAAACAGGGGTAATTACCTCCAGGACGCGGCTTCAGGATTAAATCCACCACCTCTTTCCAGTTGTCTTTCAAGATCGCCCTGACCCCGAACAAAGAAAACGACCCTTTCGTCATGGCGTAATGTGAAGGCGTGTCATTACCTCCTTGTGTCATGACCTTACCTGCCGACATGGTGCGTAGGCACGGCTGTGGTGCCAAAGCGCTGCATGCCATAGTAGTTGACGAAGCCTGTCTGCTTGAGGGATGTCAGGGCCTGCTGGACCTGCTCATCTGTGCCAGAGATGTTTCTGGAATACGAATGAAACAGTAGTCAGCAGCACAGCCGTGTAATAGTGAAGGTAGACACAGTATGCCTGGACCGTTTTAATAAGGGAGACTGTGTTAAAAAATAGGTGGGAGGAGCACATGATGAGAACGAAAAGAACTCAAAAAGTAATGTTCAATTTTAAAACCAAAATCCAGGGACAACCTCTTTAGACCTGGGAGTTCAATCTAGTCCTCGAAAATGTATTGTATTATATGATTCAACAAATCATTGTAGAAATAAAGTCTGTTAACCACCTTTCATCATTATATCAGAGGACTTTATGATGAATGGACAAATCTACAGGTGATCCATACGTGAAGCAGTCACAGTTAAGTCTTGCAGATTGTCCGTGGTGACCTGTATTGGTTTTTTTGTACGCTGTTGAAGACTTTGAAAGAGGTTCGCAGCAATTGCAGCCAAATTTGGGTTGTTACTAATCTTTAAAATATGCATGACCTAAATACCTGTGGCCAACATATCAACTAGTTGGTCTATTCCCACTAAAGCCCAGGAAAGGGCCCTATTGTACTAAAGTGAAACCTCTACAGAAATAACCCCTGGCTGACCTGATGATCACGGTGAAGTGGTTTCCCTGCAGCTCGCCCAGCTTGAGAGGGTGGTTTTTATAGCTAAAGTTTCCCAGCTTGAGGTTGATGAGGCACTTGTTGAGGTGAGACAACCTCTCTGCGGTGATCCTGAGAAGACAGGGACAGTGGTTTCTTAAGTTACAGATCCTGCAGCACCTACCACCTATTTACAATCATTTGCAGACTATCTAGAGATGGATGCATTGGAATCAATGTCGTGATTAGCTTGAAGCAGTCCACACTCACTTGAGCACAGCGATCTCCTGCACAGTGATTGCTCTCTTGTCCTTGGTTCCCATGTAGGAAAACATGTTGGGTCTGAGCCTGGAAGAACACAGTCGGCCACAATCATGTTAGATGGGGAAATTAATACGGTCAATCCGTCTCTTATTAAGCCACGATCGCATTTTTTGGGTGCTACATTCAGACCTGAGGAACTTCGAGAGAACATTGATGGCGTCCATAGTGTCCTTGTTCTCCTTGTACAGGACAAAGTGGCAGAAAGTGCCGCGGTTTTTGGGCCAGAAGTGTTTCCTTGGAGCTTTCAAGGGCACAAAAGAAAAGGTTGCATTGAAATAAAGATTATGAATTGCTGAGCCAAAAAACAGTTTTAAAATTAAAATGATATATTATATATAAAATCATATTTTTAAAACTGAAAAGTATTTTAGCCACCGACATCCAACTCCTTCTGGATTTGAACCTTTTCCTGTGTGGAGAACAGGTTCTTACCTGCAGTTGCTTTGACCTCTGTCCACCAGAGAGGAGCAATAGGAAGATAAAATGTTGTTACTAAGAAAGAGATATTTAGTGTTTATTGTGCGGGGAGTTGCGAGGAGTGAAACCTCATGCATGGGCCTGAGGGGAATAATGGCATTTAAATGGTTTATGCAATAAGGGTGCAGGGTTGGTCAAGGCACCCCGATACTGAATCTCCCCCTTCTGTCTTTTGAAGTGTTCATTCTGAGCAAAAATCTGACTAAGTCAGTCACTCATAGGAACGAGTTGGTGAGAAATATTGGAGCAGCATCATGCAGGTGTGTTGATCATGATCATGCACAAAAACACATGAGCCTAAGGTACACATGCAAGGAGCCCGTTCTCTGGTCATTTAGCTGACTAGAACAGCGAGTTAAAGGCTCACATTGGGTTCCGTTTCCTCTCTGCATACCTGCCAAAGCTTTCTTCCCAGCAGCGTGGTAGGCCACTATGAACTTGCGCCCTTCCCTCTCTTCGGTCTTTGTCTCCAGTCCAGGATACTGAGTCTTGATGGCTTTGTGGACAACCGTCCGCTTCTCTTTAGTGTCATCGATCACCTGCAGAAAGAGGAGTAATGGCATTTTGATAAACCATTTAAGTGATATAATAAAATGGATCCAGGAAGTGTGAACTCACCTCAATGGAGACATTGTCCTCTTTATTCTTGAAGAGCTGCAGCTCCCCGAGCTGCTTCTTCTGCTCTTCAGTCAGCACGTCAGAATCCTCTGGCTGCGGTTCAACCTCTGGGACTTCCTTAATTAGATGAAAAACAAAAAAACACGTGAAACTCAATGTGATATTTGCGTTCTACAAAAGGTTGCATTTATTATTTGTTTTCCTAAAAGCCTGATCACAGATACAGCAATTTATATCAGTCAAAATGTATAATGATTTTGAGCATTTCCTCTTAACATTCATCAACAAATTATTGAAAAGGCTGACTCGTCCCAAATGATTAGGATCCATGAAGCTAAGGAATATTATCCAAATATGGTTGAAACTTAAAATGGGACTTAAACATTCTTTTACATTACATTTATTTAATTAAGAAACTAATTTGTATTGCATCACAGATAATCCGTCTTAAATAAAATAATCTCCACTCAGAGTCCCAAAGAAAGGCTTGAGAGGGTTCAGACATTTAGAGAGTTTTGAATTTATTGTGATACACAATGAAATCCTATATCGTCCCATCCATATAGAGAAGTAACACTGGTGATTGAAACACAACGCAAATATCTTACCTCAGCCTCTGGAGGGACGGAGAGGTCATCTAAATGCACAATCTTGCCTTGTTTGCTGATTTCATTCACAACGAAATCAGAGTATCTGAGAACAAGCCGCAACATATCATTTGTTGAACAAGCAAACTGAAAGAAATTGCATCAACTTCTTAATGAGCCCGGAGGACGAACCTTTCCTTCAGGATTCCCGAGAAGCCCTCATGGTCACTGACGTACTTTAGGATGCCCACATCCAACTCAGTGAGGCCATGCTTCATCATATCAGCAAAGGTCTCAACTTCCTCCTCTCCATCACTTGCTTCGCCAGTGGTCTCATCCTCCTCCCTGTGATGGGGAGGGCCTCCGTTCTCTTGATCCTTCTCAACTCTTGGTTTCTTGGTCAGCGTTCCTTCCTCTTCATCCTCTGGACAGCCTCTCTTTTCTCCAACGAGGACAGGATCAGGCTCAGAGTCGGCCATTGGAGCTGAGCTGTGACAACAGAGACGGACCGGGCTGGATTTAGTGTCAATTCAAATACAGCCGACCAAGTGCTATGTAACCGATTGTTTACGTGCAATAACGAGGAATTGCCGTGTCTTCTGAGAAAACTACCACTGAAATGTAATCAGGGTTTTTGTGGAGAGTTAAAGACTTTTAGGATTTCAACAGAGAGCCATGGTCTCCAGATGGACATCAGTGTTTAGGTTTACAACTTTGAGGAGGAGTATATAAAAGATGCTATGACGTTGCATTCTGGTATAAGTAGGAACCAGAATAAGTAGGATCAGTTTATGGTCTCATCGGTTTCAGATCCCTCAGACTTAGAAGTCTACGTTTATCTCTAGAGTCCTCTAAATCATCTCAATGAGGGCCACCATGTAAACTCGCCATTTTGAAGTCTGCCTTCTTTGTGGAAGTTAACGTTAACATTATCCAGAAAATGCATTCTGATATGATGCATTTTGTTTTATACACCATCGCTAGTAACTCACATTAAAACTGAACTTCAACTCACGAAGGCATGTAACGTAGACACTGCAGCACTGAAGTCAGTGTTGGATTGAATAAGAAGGTAAACTGACATCAACGGCCTAGAATAAAAGATGCTTACGGTTTGTTGAGCTGAGGAGGCGAGAAACGGGTGTAGATCTGGGGATCTCTTCCCCTCTCACTGCTGCCAATCACTTGCAGACACTTTTTAACGGAGCAGAGTTTCACACGGGCACTGGAAAGACACAAACACAACGTGATGCTGACGTCCCCAAAGTTAGCAAATCCGCTAGCGCGTTCGCACTGTCGCCTGCGAGCTAGCGTCGCCAGTTAGCGCGGCTAGCATGAGAGCTATGAGGTGTAAATAAAGCTATACACTTCTCCTAAGCATAACGTCAGATTTCACTTACCTGTGTTTGGTGATATAGAGAAGAGTACGAGCAGCGTTGAATGCCAGCTTTTCCCACACGTGTGTGTGTGTGTGTGCGTGTGTGTGCTTGGATCCGGAAGTACGTCATCGCCTAAAGGCCGCCCAGTGCAAACGTTTGGTTAAGCAAGCTGTCAATCACAGACTAAGAACGTGAGAATGCCCGACTCGAGGTCAAAGCGAGAAAGCCGCGGCCCGTGAAAGGTGGCACACCGATTTATAGGTAAAACAAAATAAAACAAAAAAACAATGACTTGCGGGATACTTGGATGCCAAAAAGGCAACAATAAATAGACTCACCAGATTTACTGCTGTTGCATTAAAAAGATCAGAGATGTGTTCAAGGTATAGATCATTACGTTAGTTGTTTTCAGGCAGACTCAGCAATACATGTTTAACAGATTCATGAGATCATAGTAAGTGAGTTAAAATAAGCTTTTATAACAATGCCAGCAGTCGCTTAATGAAGTTGATCAATAACGACATATCTTTTGTGATTTTGTATATGTATCTGCGTGGCCGTGTACTGGCGCCGTGGCTTAGATGGTTAAAGCGCCTGTCTAGTAAACAGGAGATCCTGAGTTCGAATCTCAGCGGTGCCTTTTTTCCTGTGCTTATTATTTGTGTGAGAAAGGGTTTCTGTGACGATCGTTTGTCTCTCTTGTCACTGCACCTTTGTCTTTGCTAACTCAACCTACGTCATGTCTGTACCTTATTCAACGTACAGTATTGTTGTAACAATTAATACTGTATTATTGTAACAATTAATATTGCTTTAACAGTGAGTTGAAGCTTATGGACATTTTTTGTTGCAGATTTTAAAATAATTTTGTAATGAACTATTATTTGTTTCTATGGAATTGTAATTATTATCCACACATCTATACATACTTCAAGTTAGTCCAAATCTTTTCTGAAGGTGATCTATGACTTATAACTTTACAATATTTATGTACCTTAATCTCAAACTTTACACTATTTATGTACCTTAATCTCAATCAATTAAAAAGAAGCTTAAACTGTAGTGATGAAACAGAAAGTTAAATGCCGAAATACAGCAGCAACGTCTACATTAAAAGTCGGAATGTTTTCTTAACGGTTTTTCTCTTTGGAACAGTGTGAACAGTGCAAACTGACTCCCGCCAGAGGGAGCGCGTGCCATCTACAGGTAGAGGGTGAGAGAGACAGAGAGAGAGATAGAGAGATAATCACGCTGCTGCCGCTGAGCTGCCCGCTCCTTCTGAGGGGAAGAGGAGGAAACATGAGCTCCAGGAAAGGTGCGTATCCTCCAGCCTCTAACTTGACCACGCTCCTGCTTGTAATTATTCTGAAAGATGGCGAAAGTTACGTGTGTAGCTAACGCTACCGAAGCATGCTAAACGCGCCTAATGATGTCTCTCCCACCCTTCCCCGGTCATTCCCCGTGGTTAAACGTCACCCCCTCAGTGATGGCCATCCAGGCTAGGAAAAGGAGGCCGAAGGGAAAGAAAGACAGAACGGCTCACCATCTCAGGTAAGCAGGGCGGCGGCGGTGGTCGGTGACGGGGGGACGTGCTGGGTCGTTAGGGTCCGTTGGCTGCGGGTCCATGTGCGCGCGCACATACGGCATTAGGCGTGTATTGAGAATATGCAGAGTATTCGGAATACTGTGGAGTGTGGGAACTTGCCATTCACGTTACACGACTCGGGTCTGAACGGCGAGGACTCCACTGACGTGTTCCGCCATCCTCCAGATGAATGCCTTCCTGTGCCTTTTTTATATTCACTACTAGTAGCCTCTAGATGATTTGGCCCTTTCTTGACTGGGGATTGCAAAAAGGAGTGTGGCAGATGTGACAGCTCATTTCCTTGGCCCCTCTGCAGCAGGGATAAGATGTAACAAATACAAATAAAAAAAACCTTTTTATCACCTAACCTATTTGGAAATCTCTCACATGGTGTTTGATTATGTAACTTTTCTTGAATTCGTTGGCACATTGTTTCCTGCCGGATGTGTGTGTGTGTGTGTGTGTGTGTGTGTGTGTGTGGTTTTATTAGGCCGTCTTGCAGGGGACTAGGGTGTGTGCACGCAGTGGCTCTGTAAAGTGCACGCGAATGGGAGTGGGAAGAGGCTTCATGTCGTGACGCTATTGGAGCGACGTCACCGGCACAGAGGAAAGGCATCAATGGGGGGTCTGCTGCTCGGATATGCTGCAATTGCAAAACACTTGCACAGTGAATTAAAAATGAAAATAATACAAATCAATTAATAAAGCCAGTGGTTGCTCCGAGAGCAGGTTGCCTCTTGTGGATGTGTCCTTTTGTCCCAGTGTATGCTGGGATTTATACAATAGAGCTTAACTCTGGGGATAAGGATTAAGCAGACTGAGAAAATGAGAAAAAAAGTGACTCTTGATTTGAGATATTTTTGTTGGTCTAAATATGGAATATGCAAAGAAAAGCCTTCACATTCTCACATTTCAGAAGCTTAAAGACGGTTTGTTTTTCTTGCTTGTTAAATGACAGTTAATCGATCATCAAAATAATTGCTGCTTAATTTTCTGATAATAGACTATTTGTCCCAGGCTGTACAATGAAGCAAATCATGTAAGCTCATTATCCAGCAGACGCTTATCAGGCTGTGGGTCACAGTGGCATCTCTCTCTCTCTCCCTCACACTTTCTTTTTGGGATTGGGATCTACTTTGATCCAGAGTCCCGCCCAGCCTCTAGCGAAGCGCTTCACAACGCTGGGGAAAGCTTTGTGTCCACGAACCACTGAAAACACACATGTATACGGACACACACACATTGCCACCACAAATGTAAAGGTTCCCATTGAGAGCAATGCGTTCTCACGTGCAGTCAAAGCATTGCCTTCTAACTTTGATCTGTTCAGCTGATGCAACTTCCCAAGTTTGAACTAAAAAAGAAAAATGTTTGGCTCTCTGGTTTTCTGTTGATCAGGTTTCAGTTCCAGATTTTTAGATTTCCAGATATTGTTTTTGTTTGGGCAGTTGTGCCTTCTAGCCCGTGTTCGAACCATCACACACTATGCCAAAAGGATCCTGGTTGGTTTGGACGAATGCTACCAACGTTTGACATTTTTGGCTCGCAGTGAACTATCGCAACAATTAGATAGATTTGCAGGATCAATGCTACTGATTTCCTGATCCCCTGACTTTCCATGAGATGAGGGAAACTCTGGTTTGTCTGTTCCACAAAGGGAGGTAACTAAAGCTCAGGGTCAGTCACCATGGTAACTGAGCCTGTGAACATCACCTGGTCGGGAGCAGGTTTTCTTTAATAAACCTCAGGTTTCTTTCACAGTCTCCTCCCTTTGACAGCAGCCCAGCCAATCACACAGCTTTCATTTCCTCATTCATTCATTCACTCTGTATCAGACAGATTGTAGCGCAGTTTCCACATATGAACAAAATAAGATGTTACGTTAAAGACTCAAGTGTTTTCTCGGACACGTCACGTCCTTTTCTGGACGATCCTGTTGATGAAGAAGTGGTTTTACTTCTCAGGCTGTTAAACACGTTAAGAGAGAATATTGAGGCCCGATTAGATATATTGTCATTTCCATTTTCACTACTTGTTTTAACGGTATTGTTTTTCTTCACAGTCCATCAAAATGTAAATGACCTCACCCGTCCTCATATAACTAACGTCCCCATCGTGGACGTGCTCTCACATACAAGCACATTCTTTGTGTAGTATTACGTTTTTTCCTTTACAACATTATAATATTAGTAAAGCTGCTGTATGCAGAGCCGTGAGAAACGTCTTTTAAACCTTTTTGTTCCCTGGACACAAACCAGTGAAGCCATTAAAGAGGAGTTCCACAGGATGATTGTACCAGTTTTTACCAGCGATATTGTTCTTGTGATTAAATGTGAGCATGGGTGTGTATTTCAAGCCTGTGTGTGGTGCATTCCAACAAACAGTGTAAAAACAACACTATGTTGGACATTGCTTACAGCAATTTTCTCCCACGCAGTTTCTCTGTCTTTTGCTGCAGTATAGTGGTGTTTTTTTTCTAATTACGGGTAATTACTCGACGTACGCTTGCATTAATATTTCCAGCTCAAGTATGCCGACCGATTGTTTGTGGTGGTTGCCATGGTGAATCGTGGTATCGTGGCTCCATTCATGCTGCCTTCATACTGTGGTGGTGCACGCGCTCAACTCTGAGTCAACCTACTCCGAGATGATTGAACCAACTCTAAACAGCTGATCTGAAACCCAAAACTCAGAGTTTAGGTTTTGATTCAGAGTTTGTTAAACGCCCTACTTGATAAACCGCATCGACTTTCCTTCTGGGTTGGACCCAGCCACTGGCATCAGAGGGCGAGCTGAAGCTGGAGTCTCCCTCCATTTGAAATCACATGTCGAGGTTTAATGAAATCCTGAATAAATAATAAAGCTTCGTTCATCCATACTGCGGCCTGACAGGCACAGCTGACCAGTATGGTTGACCAGTATGGTCAGCTGTGTGTGTTATGAACACACACAGCTGACCGGGGAAGCAGACTGCTTTTAAGTCTCAGTCGCTTTGTTAATGTTGGAGTCGCAACCTTTAACGCGGCGTTTTATCCCGTTTGTGTTCTTGCTGTCACGGCCAATGAGGAGCCACACTCTCTCTCACGTCAGTACTGTGAGGTGTAACTAATCGTACGTGAGCCTGCAGCTGAGCACAATTAATTTGATCCTGTGTTTGTGGCGTACTGTGGGGTTTATCAAAGCTTTGAAAAAGAAAACAGCTGCCTGCTGTTGCTGGAAATGGGGCTGAAGTGATGAGAGCAGTGAGCCTGAACCCAAAGGGTGAAGTAGCAGGCGGTGAAACCAAAAAGAATATGCTTGAAAAATGTTCTACAATGCTTACTGGGACTGCTGCTGCTTTTCCCGAAACGCAACACCTTTCACCGTAAACACCATTTCCTCCATAAATTAGTGCAGCTTTAATGCAGCGTAAACACAATGTGTTGGTAGGTCAGCATATCCGTTGAAAATTATTATTCAAATAATGAATTTAAGTTATTTCTCTATAGTCCTTGGGACTGATCCTAAATAACCCAAATAGGAATCAGGAATCAGGAAACATTTATTGCCAAAATATGTCAAACATACAGGGAATTTGTCTTG